CCCGCAATGTCATCAGAACCAGATTGGATGACATCCAACCACAGCTGTCCAGGAGAGGGGTTATCAATGAAACACAAATCTAACCTTTGTCCCCGTTTCTGCCTTCCAGTAGGGGATGGCCTCGTGAAGCCAGAGGCTTTGAATAAAAAGGCCATTCAGATTATCAACAGGGTCCGTGATAAACTCACAGGTACGTGTGCACCTTTCACAAAAGGCTATACAAAAAAAGAGTCCTTGCCTAAGCTAGTTGTTGTCCTCTATTCCTTTACCTGTTCATTATTATTCGTGTCCTCCTGAGCTAACCAAACCTCCAGCTGTTTGTTGCTTTTCTTCTGGTTGCCAGACCTTTCCCAAGCAAAGGACACACGGAGATGGTCCCTAGCATAGAATCTTAGGTCCTTCTGACATTACAGATCTATGTATACGATGCTGAGGTTTTTTTAAATGAACAAATGGCAAACGGGTGTTTGGAGACACATATGCCAGAGGCATGCTTATCATGGGAGCTGGTAAAGCACAGTGGCAAAGTGAATGGGCTGTGATTGCAGAGGCTCTGAGTTCAAATCTCATCTCTACCGTGATCTCACTAGGTGGCCTTAGGTGTGTACATGTGTGCTGCTCTCTTTCACTCTCTTTCTCTCTCAGCTCCTCATCAGCAATATGCAGAATTGGCCTGCCGTAGTAGTGGTATTCAAGTATATCATTATCAAAGAGCTGGGGTTAGCTGCACCTCCCTGCTGAATATACTCAGTGGCAAACCAGAATTTGTCAATGTATACATTTCAACAGACCTGTTGTATAGGGTTGAAGGAACCTCTTGCAGTTGTGACTCTGGAGTTTCTTTTGGTCTTCATCTGTAAACCCCAGTATGTGTTTAGACAGATTTTTATTATAGAGAAAAAATCCTCATGCGTAGCCAAGTTGGTCCATTGCATCAAGACAAACAAAAATTGAGACCCTGGATTTCTGTCCTGTTTGCAGGTGTTAAATTAACATAGCAAACCTAAGAAGATAGTGTGATTGCCAATTAGTTCCATTGCGAATGGCCACTCTTCTCTAGTAAACATTTGAGCTTTGCGTAGAAAAATTACAGGCTGTATCTCTTTTCCCTCCACTTGCGTGTGTATGTCTTTGCCAAGTGAAGGTAATACTTTCATGCCCCTGACGAAGTGTGCTCTAATTTGTAAAAAGCTTCTGCCCTAGTAAACCAATTAGTCTTTCTGGTGTCACAGCATGCTATTTTTGTGTATTTGTTGCTGAGAGGGCATCTCATTGCAGGCTGCCCTGTGCGCCTCCTACAAACTACTTCTAAAGAAGACAAAAATTCTGCTCTTTATAAACAAATCTGTCATACAGATTCTTTGTTTCTTCTCAAATGTTGCCTGGAACCATGCCTTCCTGGTCCTTTTTCAATCGGTTCTATTTGACGAGAGTGCCTACTTCCCCCTTGCGGTTTTGGTCTGGCAAGCTCATCAGCCGCTGTTCTCTCTTTCCTTGCAAAGGGCGAGACTTCTCCCATGACGAAACGCTGGACGTCCCCACACAAGTAGAGCTGCTGATCAAACAGGCCACCTCCCATGAGAATCTCTGCCAGTGCTACATTGGATGGTGAGGTTTTACCTAGCCTTGAAACCAGCTGCTCTTCACCCTTTCTTCCCTGAGATGCACAAGTAGGAAACTGTTAAAAGAAAAGTTCATTTGTTTGCCACCAGTGGCCATTGCCTCATTCAGTGAGAAGCAAGGGCTTCCATGGACTTCTTCTGTTTTCAGAATGACTTTATTGACACACTGGTGAGCCAGTTTGGGGCAGTGGTTAAGTGCACGGACTCTAATCTGGGAGAACCGGGTTTGATTCCCCACTCCTCCACTCGCAGCTGCTGGTGTGACCTTGGGTCAGTCACAAGTTTTCTCAGAGCTGTTCTCTCAAGAGCAGTTCTCTCAGAGCTTTCTCAGCGCCACCTACCTCACCGGGTGTCTGTTGTGGGGAGAGGAAGGGAAAGGAGTTTGTAAGCCGCTCTGAGACTCCCAAGTGAAGGGCGGGGTATAAATCCAAACTTCTCCCCCTTCTTCTTCTTCTCTTTTAGCGTTCCTTATTTATGAACTGTTCTCAGTGGAACTGCCTTAATTGATGAAAGAAACACTTTTTAACCTGTAGAGAACGAGGCCACTAGTTATCCTAAGCAGGAGTTCTCTTTTCATGGGGTAGAGGGAGATGATTAAATATAACTTGCCTTTTCATAGTTGTATACATTGGTTGAGATCCAGAAAACACCTCCGGACACCCCCGACTTTTGGCACTTGGACAATAGGAAGACAGAATAAGTTGGTCGGACTATTGAATCCAGACAAACCCCCATGCCAATTTTATACATATGCTCTCCTTTTCTTCCGTAGGTGCCCTTTTTGGTAGTAGGAGACTTGCACTGAAGCATCCACGAGTTGTACTTCTGGAAATTTTTAACCCTCCAAGCATTTTCTTCTAGAGATCAGAGGAGGGGAGAAATGGACTGTGTGGGAGGAAACAACCTGCCCTTTTCAAATATGTTGAAATGTAAATGAAAATGCTGTATCCTAAAAGTTGGCTCGAGTCTATTTGGAGCTGCTACCATTTGCCAAGGAACGGGCTGGAATGAAACACAGAGCTTGAAAGGGAGATTCCAGGTTGGCGTAGAACAAAAAAGAATTCCCGACCTGGCTACAGACCCTGTGGGAACTGCTGACTTGGCAAAAGTGGTGGGTGGTTTTCTGAGAATCTGTTTTCCCTGAGAAACTCTGTTGCATGGTCAGGCCATCGTGAATTCATTTTGGTGACCCAGGGGACCGTGCTGATGATTGGGAAGATATGAGAGCATCCATGAGCAAGGAAATCTGTTGCTTTTTTAGTCAAAGCAAGGCTAGAAATCAAACCGGGGGTGATAATGTAATGATAGCATATTTTCTGACACAGTTTGCATGGAAGGATTAAGAAATTATTAAAACCCTGCAAGAGCAGGCCTTCTTACTGGGGACAGGATATTGCAAATCATAAGGGAGTTTTCCACACTGGCACTGAGCAGAAAGAGAGAGGGAAGGAAAATAGAGACAAAGTTAAGCATAAAACCAGCAATGCGTTTGGGAGAAGAACCAGTCATATCTGAGGAAAAGGAGTCAAAACACTAGAGTGAGTGCCTGATATTGTGCTGAATTTATTAATGAAACTATTATTAAGGAAAATGCACAAAGCATAGCCACGTTTAAGATGCCATGTTGTAGTTTGAATATTTTTGTGCCAATAAAGTACACCAGACTGTGTAAAGACTCCAGAAGGATTCTAAACGCCTTTTGCGTATGTGACTCCATGGCGTGTGGTGGGAGGGCAGGTGAGGAGAGACATCTCCCGTGGTCAAAGGGCACACAGATCCCGTGACAAAGAAGGGCACACAGATGCCCCATGCCCCTTATAAATTGCACACCGCATGCCATGTTGGATGGAAGGCTTGAATTTTTGCTTGTCGCTCAAGACTGCAGTTTCCAAAATCCCTCTCATACAACCACCCCATGAGGACCAAGCCACATAAGTATCTCCCTCCAGAATGAGCCTTCAGAAACTCAGCAAAGATGTGTGTCCTTGAAAGAGGTCATCTGAAACATCAATAGTTCTAAGTACAATTTGGGCTACCATTCTAATCCTTCGGTGACAATTCTGATGCCAACTGCCAGCCAACTAGCATCATCACCCACCTCTCACCCCCCACTCCTGAAGGCCCAGAGGTCATTTCGGGGGGGATCGCAGTTCCCCCGGGGTGAGGTACGGGGGCGGGGCACATGATGAAGCCCCGCCCCCTGCTTCCGGCCGCCCCGCTTCCGGCCCTCATTCAGCCAGGAGGCGGCAGAAGAAGAGGGAAGGGTAAGTTGCTTTCTCCCTGCCTCTTCCCACCCCTGCCTGCCTGGGGCCAGGGAGGGCCTTCGCGGGGCTTCCTCGCACTCCCGCCGGCCTTGCAGGTCCACCGCCGGGCCCCTGATGTCGGGGTGTGGCATATGCTAATGAGTTCATATCAGGGCCATTTGGCCAAGGAGAGTTCCTGGTTGACCCCCGTATCATTTCCTGCATTTGCCTACTTATTTTCTAAAGGGTCTCTCCAAAATGGGTGACAAGGCAATGAACAGTAGATAAAAACCATTGTAAGTACAATAGCTGTGGCACCTTTAAGAGCAACAAAGTTTAATTGTGGCACACGAAAGCTTCTACCTGGAATTAAACTTTGTCGGGCTTAAAGGTGCCCCTGGGCTCAAACTTTGTCCTGTTGCTTCAGACCAACACAAGGACCCGTCTGAATCTCTCTTCATGGAAGGCACCACAGTAAACTGCCTTGCTGTGCTCCTTCTGAAATAAATCTATGGTGCGCCTGGAGGACTGTGCATGCTTCCTGGTACTTCTCTCCCTCCCCCTCCAAGTTTATTAAAAATGGTATCATAGAGCTGGGAAACATACCTAAAAGGATTAAACAAAGTAGGAAAAGAGAGTGTTTTACATAACAAAAAATAAAAGTTTGGGGGTTTTATTACAATATATTACTATGCATGTTGACTCAGTAAATCCCTCATGTCAGATTAAGCCTGCCTAAGATTGCAGCCACAAAGGGGAGTGAAGAGTGTGATTTACAGCCCTCTTATTATGTAGGTGAAGTAAATAATCCCCAGTCTCTTTCACACATTCTGGTTTAATTGAATATATAGATCCTTGGGTTCCATTCATTGGGAATGCGTACATTTTTACCGCTGCAAAAGCTGTGGTGACAGAATACGCTGTATAGCTTCAGGCTGTAATACCCTAACTAACGTCCCTGCAACTAGAAATCAGTCGAGCAGGGAAAAGGTATCATCCTTCCACCACCATAATAACCGGAAATCCAGGGCTGCACATCGCTTTCCCCGATTTCTACGAGAGCGTCTAGCCCCGCCCCGCCGGGGTGAGTTATCGCGAGAGAGAACGGGAGCAGCGTTCTCTTGCTGCGTGGAGTGCTATCCAATATGGTGGCTGCCTGCTGAGGGGGAACGGAGGCCTTAGAGACTCAAGGGAAATGGCAGCGAAGGTGCGCGGCGGGGACTTAGCCAAAGCCTCTCAATCGGCCGAGACGGGCGGCGACACCGCGGAGGAGATTCTGCCCGGGTTTCGGGACGCGGATACTTTCGTCAAGGTATCTTCGTAACAGGAAGGAGGGGAGGCCGTGCTGGCGCTACGGGGGCTCCAGGGTGGTGGGAGCGCGAAGCACGTCGGGAGTTGTAGTCTCCCTTACCTCAGCCAGTCTGTTGCATTAAAAGGGGAGAACGAGAGGTATAGGTGTGCATGGTGTGGGGTTTGTTTTTTCCTTCATGGGGCAGGAGTACAGTATCAGACAACTAACTAGCAGAAGAGCCCTGCTGGATCAGACCACGAGGGCCGTCTAGTCCAGCAGCCTGTTCCCACCAGATGCTTCCAGACCACGGGGGGGGGGGGGGGGGGGGTCGCCTGTCGCTCCAGGATGGGAAATTCCTAGAGATTTGGGGGTGGATCTTAGTGTTGTACAATGCCAAAGAATCCACCCCCAACCAGTGTTCCCCCTAAGCTGAGTTACTGTGAGCTAGCTCACAGTTTTTTAGCCTCCGGCTCACACATTTTTGTCTTCGCTCAGGAAGAAGGGCTCCAGAGCAAACTAATTTATGCAGCAGCCAGATCGCTCACTCACAACTTTAATGCCAGTAGCTCACCAAGTAGAATTTTTGCTCACAGGACTCCACAGCTTAGAGGAAGCATTGGTCCCAACACATGCATTTTCTCCAGGGGAACTGATTTGTGCCGTCTGGAGATGAGATGTAATTCTGGGGGACCCCCAGGTCCCACCTGGAGGCTGGTATCCCTAGCAAAGGCCTTGAAGAGTCATTGCTCGACATGTATCTGTAGAGCAAATTCTTCTCCCTGCTGGAGAAAGCGTGGAGAAGAAGTTGGATGGACAGTTTCCAGTCTCCAGGTGGGACCTGGGGATCCCCTGGACAACTGATCTCCAGATGACGGAGATCAATTCCCCTGGAGAAAATGGCTGCTTTGGAGTGGGGACACTATGGCATAAACCTTGCTGATACCACTCCTCTTCCCCCACCCCCTTACCCCAGGCTCCACCCCCTCCCAATTTCCAGGAATTTCCCAACTCAGAGTTAACAACCCTATAGGTGGGCCCAGGGGTCATTTCGTAGAAAAAGAGGTGCAGGAGCTCATTAGCATAACTCATCAGCATAACTTATTTGCATATGCCACACCCCCTGACATCACCGGAAGTGTGTCAGAAGGCAAATAAACCTTGCTGAAATCACTCCTCTTCCCCCACCCCCTTACCCCAGGCTCCACCCCCTCCCAATTTCCAGGAATTTCCCAACTCAGAGTTAACAACCCTATAGGTGGGCCCAGGGGTCATTTCGTAGAAAAAGAGGTGCAGGAGCTCATTAGCATAACTCATCAGCATAACTTATTTGCATATGCCACACCCCCTGACATCACCGGAAGTGTGTCAGAAGGCAACACCCACCGCTCAGGCTCCACTGGACTGTTTTGGATTGCTAGCTATTGGGGGGGGGGGATGCAGAACTGCCCTCACAGAGGGAGAGCTTGTACCTGAAGGCGGGTGGGCGGGTCTGCAACTTACCTGGCTGTGTCTTGCTCTTCTGGCCTGATTGAGGGCTGCTGGGAGCAGGGGGTGTGGCTTGTTGCCTGTGCCTGCCCCTGGGCTCTTTACTGCCGGAGCCACGCTCCGGTGCGCTCCCGCAGGAAATGACCCCTGGGTGGGCCAATGCACTGGCTCAGTATAAGATAGCTGGGTATGCTCTGAAGAAGTGAGCGGTGACTCATGAAAGCTCCTCCCCTGCCACAGATGTTGTTAGTCTTTAAGGTGCTCCTGGACTCTTGGCTCTTTTCTACTGGGCATGCTCCCCTTGCTTCATTAATCCTCACCGTGTGTCATAAAGTGTTAGCCACGTACTGTGTGGCTAGCCGATGGTCAAACGGGAAGACAAAGATTTATTTGCCTGGCGGAGAGGTGAGCACAGAAACAAGTCTGCAGGCGATCACCACTGCCCCCTTTCAGGGGGATCACTTTAGTTCTAGACTTAAACTCTAAGAGCTTAAAGTGGAACTTAGAGAAGTAGGTTTTTCCCTACTGCTGCCAGAATCTCCCTGTACTAACCACAAAACTGGTATGAGACGAACTGGGCTGACTTCCAGTTAGCCTCCTTTGCTGCTAAGCAAAGCCCGTTCTCAGGAAGGGACAGAAGGCACAGTCTCCAGCTTGGATGAATGCCCACCTATTCTTCACGTTTTTCTTCTTCAAAACAGTCCCACAAAGAAAAATGCGATGCATGTTGAGCAGAGCAGGCCTCTGGAAGAGACCAGTAGCTGTTGGGCCAGGCAAGCTGATAGAAAGAGCCTAGCTCCTTCTGCTACTTTCCAGCACAGCTGGCCATGGATGTAGTCTGAGAGGGAGGGGCCAAGTAACCCTGGGTCTTTCCAGTCAGACAGTTGCTCTATGTAGCTCATATGTAGCTGAGTTAGTGTGAGCTAGCTAACAGTTTTTTAGCCTCCAGCTCACACATTTTTCTCTTAGCTCAGGAAGGAGGGCTCCAGAGCAGTGTTCCCTCTAAGCTGAGTTAGCGTGAGCTAGCTCACAGTTTTTAGCCTCCGGCTCACACATTTTTCTCTTAGCTCAGGAAGGATGGGGCTCCAGAGCAAACTAGTTTATGCAGCAGCCAAATTGCTCGCAAACAACTTTAATGCCAGTAGCTCACGATGGAGAATTTTTGCTCACAAGACTCCATGGCTTAGAGGGAACACTGCTGCAGAGCAGACTCATTTATGCAGCCGCCAAATGGCTCGCTCACGACTTTAATGCCAGCAGCTCACAAAGTAGAATTTCTGCTCACCAGACTCCGCAGCTTAGAGGGAGCCTTGCTTTTGACTGGTAGTAATTCTCCTGGAAAAGAAGATCTCTCCCAGCCCCTGCTCTGAGACCCTTTGTGAGGAGATGCCGAGGGTTCAAACTTGGACCTTCTGCACACAATTCAGGGGCTCTCTCTTTTAGCTGCAGGCCCTCCATCTTAAGCAGCAGAGGTTGTGCCTGGAGCAGGAGCCAAAATCCGGGCTCCTGCATGTATAAGTGGCTTGGCCTGCTTCAGCCGAGACTGACCATGACAGTGTCCTTCTTCCTCTTGTCCAGCATGCTCTCGGCACAGTGGTGGCCGCCACCAAGGCGTCCGGTGGCCTTCCTCAGCCTGGAGACGAGTTCGACTTCTACCGCAGCTTCCCGGGCTTCCAGGCCTACTGCGAAACACAAGGAGACCGCTTGCTGAACTGGTGAGTCTCTCCAGGCTGGTTGCAACGTGGGTTGTTCCCAGCAGCGACCAATGCAGGAGGCGTAACCGTAGGGAAATGACACATGCTGGGCAAAAGGGGGGCAGCCACATTTTGAACCAGTTGAAGGTTTAGGACATGCTCTCGAAGGGCAGCCCTTGGCTTGAACTTCAAGGACGGGGTGGAAATGTATTCAGAGGAGGGCTGCAACCCGGCCTTCCTCTGTGGGCCAGCTAGGGTTCTTGCTAAAGGCCCGCGTCCCGACCACCATGTGCTTCCTTTTTCCTCCCGGCAGCATGAGCCGAGTGATGCAGTACCATGGCTGCCGCAGCCACCTGAGAGACCGCAGCAAAGCCATGGAGCTGGAGGACAAATTCGATTTGCTGGTGGATGCCAACGACGCCATCCTGGAAAGAGAGGTAAGTGCCACTTGGCGACAACAGTGGAAGTTCCACGGGGACGGCAACCAAACCACGGTCATGGCGACACACGCTATGAATTGCATTTAGTCCATCTTTCTTAGAGTGGGATCCAGTCCTGTTCCCTTTTTCAACCCTGTTGTCACTCTCTGCCAGTCAACTGAACTGTCAGATATTGTTCCTCAGCCACCTCTTAAGAACCTCAGAAGAGCCCTGCTGCATCAGACCAGGGGTCCATCTAGTCCAGCCTACTGTTTCTCACAAAGCAGCCAGACAGTTCCTCTGGAGGGTCAACAACAGGGCAGAGAGGCCGAAGCCTTCCCCTGATAAGAACATCAGAAGAGCCTTGCTGGATCAGTCCAGTGAGGGTCCACCTAGTCCAGCATCCTGTCTCACACGGTCGCCAGCCAGATCCTTTGGAGTGCCAACAACACGGCAGGGAGGCCGAGGCCTCCTGGCTCTGGGATTCCGAGGTTAACTCCTCTGTGTTGCGCGTTGCGTGTAGCACAGCGTGTCTGCTTCTAGCCAGCAGCAGTCAGCCACTCCAACTCACCAGCCACTCACCAGCACTCAATTTCAGAGTAAGCTCTGTATAGCACCACACAAGACAGTCCTGTGGTAAACTATATACAGAATTTATTTACAATATTTACAGTCCGCTGACAAAGTGCTCCGCCAATCACCATTACACGAGAAGAGAATGAACAGGGCTCCACTTGTCCAGTTATATACATACAGCGTCCAATCAGCTAAGTTGTCACTGACCTCATGTCGTATCAGGCCTTAACTGGTCAGGACCAGTTTCCAGCAGCTTGCCTGCTGACACATAGATCACTATGATCTGACAGCTGGATATTAAACATCTGACACTCTGAACGTGGAGGTTCCCTTTAGTCACCATGGCTAGTAGCCCTCTCCTCCATGAATCAATCTAATCCCCTTTTAAAGCTGTCTGTGTCTATAAGAACATCTGTTCGGTCACAGATAAATATGGTAAGCTCTTCCATGAATGTAAGAACAACACCATGTAGGTTACAGGCTTCCTTTCTAAATGTCATCCTGCTGTCCTGGGTTACCAGATGAGGCCTGATCCCCCCCCTCCCCCCCAAAATCTGTCATGACAAACCTAGACAACCAAGCAAAGCTTTGTCTGCAAGCCATCCACTATAACTGCAAGTATCTCCAAGCAAGAGGGGAGAATCTCCAAAGCACAAATGCCTTTAAACTGCTGGATTGGGGGGGGGGGGGGTGTATTTCTTAAGTTTTGTAAAAGCCAAAAATAAGAATTGTTGAGGGAATTGGAGAATTCAGGTATCTGAAGAAGTACACGAAAGCTGATACCCAGAATTCACCTTTGTTGGTCTTAAAAGGTGCCCACCTGGATTCAAACTTTGTCCTGCTGCTTCAGACCAGCCTACCAGCGTGGCCGCCCACCTGAATCTATGTATAGGGAATCGTTCACATTACTAGAAACTTAGGCTGACATTTAAAAAACTTATAATAATGTATTGCATTATTTTAATAAGGGTGGCTTTCATTTTCTTCACAGTAATGATCTAAAGTCATTTGTGGGTTTTTGAAGCGGCATAAGTATCAAACCGGCTGCTGATGCCGAGGATCTGTTTTTGCTGCTTTCATACTACCAGGCCAGGATTCAGCCTGTCAGTTAACTAAATCACTGTCATTGTTTGAATGGCCCAAATCTTCCTGTAACATTTCCCGGGTTGCATTCTGCTTCCTGAGTTGGGATGTGCACACCGTTGAGCTACGTTTCACTCTGACCTTGCTTACAGAGATATTCGGACCATGAACCATAATCTGGAAAATGATTTTTGATGGTCCTAATTTATTCCGTTAACGGAGGGTGAATTGTCTATTTAATGAACCGGCCCTACTTCTTGTGTGTGTTCTAAAGCTTAGGTCAGAAAGGTTGTATTTTGAATAATTTCACTTTATGGTGTGTATTTTAAGTTTGTACCACTGAGGAAGGCCTTGTGGCTGCAATGTGTTTGGGTTTTAATTGATTTTTAAATTATTTGTATTGGATTAAAGCTTGGTTAATTTGTCATACATAAGCCATTATTATTATTTTTTTGTCGTTAGGCCTTTTTCTCAACCTCCTTGGGTGCCTGGCTTTTTAATTGATTTTTAAATTATTTGTATTGGATTAAAGCTTGGTTAATTTGTCATACATAAGCCATTATTATTATTTTTTTGTCGTTAGGCCTTTTTCTCAACCTCCTTGGGTGCCTGGCTTTTCTGAAGTTTTTTCTTCCCTTTTCTGCTTGGATTCCAGGGCATCCTATTGGATGAGGCAGCGGGCATGAGCAAGAACCAGCAGCCTATCCTCCCCTCGGGCCTGCAGCCGCCCAAGACCATCATCTCCAGCTGGAACCGTAAGGTAAAGGGGGTATCCTTCTTAGGTTTTGCACCTCTCCTTCAGTTTAGGCCTTCCTGTCTGCCGTATTGAATTTCATATTCAAGACACTCCCAAGCTGTGAGCTTTGGAACAATCGTGTCCTTTGAATGCCAGGATTTGGGCATCCCTGTCCTTCGGTGCTGTCTTCTTGAATATACGAATATCACGGCTCAGGTAGGGTGTCACCTGACGCTGCCACCACTCTGGTTCCAGGCTCCTCTTAGAAGGCCCACAGCACCTTCCCAGGCCTTTAGACCTCCCTTTTGGCCGAAAAATAGGCGTGAGGACCAGGCAGTGTGAATAGTGGAAATAGTTTATTGTATAGGAGGTCAAACAACAAGGTGCAGAATAATAACAGTAACTGGGTGAAAAGAAAAGAAATCAAATGCCCTAACACGTCTAAATATAGTCCCTAGCTCACTATCTGCAGTGGCCCTAGACTACTCACCCTTCCTGATAGACTTCCTGATAGCAGTTCTAGGGGCGTCATCCTCACATCTTGCACAGGCTCCATGGTAACACTGGCCCCATCTTGTTGGGCAGAGGGAACGTTCTGCTGGATGGAAGCAAGGGGTTTGCCTGGCCCAGGGGCCAGCAGGACACTTCCCAGAAGCCCACAAGCCTCTTGTTGCCCACCGGACAAAACAAGCCCTCTTTGTGCTCTTACACCCAGCGCAGTCGTCATTCTTGCTCCACACCTTAACGTGTCCTGTCATGTTCCGTTTCTTCCAGCAGAGTGGGGAGTCCAAAAAGTGGAACAAGTCGGAAACCTTCCGCTTGCTCCACGCCAAGAACATCGCTCGGCCACAGTTCAAGTTCCGCGAGAAGGTTGACAACTCCAACACCCCCTTCGTTCCCAAGCTCTTTGTCAAACCCAACGCTCTGAAGCCACTGCCGGAAGGTGAGGAGCATTTGGAGGGGGTGGGATGGGGAGCTCTTCCAGGCAATAAACCCTTGTGCCCGCCAATTAATTAATTAATTCATTTATTATTTATTATTCTCATTTGTACTCCACCCTCCCCGCAATGCAGGCTCCGGGCCACTCACAATCAAAGCATAAATACAATGAAAACAACATAAAATCATCTAAAAACAATTCCATTGTAGCTAATACAATTCCATTGTAGCTAATACAATTCCATTATAGCTGAGACAATTCCATTATAGCTGAGACAAATTCATAAAGTGCTGGTTTTGGTTAATTAGTTGTTCGAGATGGCTGATTTTCACAGTATACTTTCAAGTATGTGCTTTGCCACTGAATGATGACCCCCTCGCCCGATAACAGAAGCAGTAAAAGGCAAAGGAAGATCTTTCTTAATATTTATTAGCTGTGCGTTGAGGAAAACCTGAGATCCCTTTAAGGATTAAACTGGGGACTTTGTTCAGGACTTGTGTTCTTCCAGTGACCTGTGGCAATTCCAACTTAACAGCATTGACAACTTCTAATTAAAAGAAAAATCTTCTGCTTGGGTGAGGACAGAGGGAAGAGCCAGGAGTGATTGAGGAGAATAAGGCCATACAGGCAGTGGGTTGTGAGAAGAATTTCTGCAGCTGGTCCGCTCCCCCCACCCACCCCCATCCTGCCTTGGCTGAGCAAACTGGGCATTCCTACATTCTTTTGTTTATTTATTTCGATTTATATCTCGCCCTTCCTGCAGGTGGGCTGTGGGCGGGTCACAACAATGAATTACAATCAGTAGTAAAAAGTGAATATCAAACAATAGAAACAGTTGAAAGATAGGCATAGCAGCAGTTACATATTCAGCAATCCTAAGGCTGGGAACAGTTGGGCCTCGGCCGAACCACAAAGATCTTACCAACAGCCGCCGATTAATAGCGGAACTGCTATTAACTGCTCTTGCACACAGAAGTGCGTGAAGGGGTGAGCTGTACCCTGGTGCTCATGCCTTAGATGAGCGGTGTCAAAGAAGCGGCCCGGGGGCCGGATCACGCCCCCCAGAGGGCTTCCCTCAGGCCCGCAGTGGAACTGGCCATCTCCTCCTTCCAGTTCTACTGCTGCTGTGCATCATAGCTTGCTTTGCCAGACTCCCTTAATCACTCAGCCATTTCATGCTTTAACCTGGGTCCTAGACTCAGAACTCTGAGCATGAAATTCCTGTGGTGAATGTTAATAAATCAAAAGTAGGTTTGCAGCTTACAGAGCTAATGTTTTAAGCATGTTTTAAAAAAAACCCTCTGTGTTTGTGTCCTTTATAAAGTTTATATCTCCGCTACCTGGCATTACATTTTACAACACACATGGCCCGGCCCAACGAGGTCTCATTTATGTCAGATCCAGCCCTCGTAACAAATGAGTGTGACACCCCTGCCTTAGATGTATTCTTAAGCATGCACAGTAAGGAAAAACAACATTGCTACTTTTTTATTTCTACCTGTCCTCAAAATCTTTAATTCTGCCTGTTCTCAAAAACACCCGGGCAGCCAAGCCAGATTTCCGCCCTGTTAACCCCCCCACACACACAAAAGTTCTAGTCACCTGCTAAAGCCTAAGAAGGTCAGGGAAAGAAACAGGCCGTTTTCTCAGCCGTTCACCTGACTGTTTGCTTCTGGCTACCACAGCACTCTCGAGAAGCCAACGTGAGCGAAAGGAGCGCCCCGAGGACTTGGACGTGCCGGCTGCCCTGGCCGACTTCCTCCATCAGCAGAGGACTCAGCAGACAGAGCAAGACATGTAAGAGGCTGACTGGGGAAGGAGATAAGAGGCCAGACTGTTCTGGACAATTTTTCTTCTCCACTTCCCTTCCCAGAGCTGGTTCAGTAGCTCCACTGCTGTTTTTGCGGAGAATAGTAGTGGGACGTGAAAGGCCTCCGCCTGAAACCCCGGAGAGCCGCTGCCAGTCTGAATAGACTGTGCTGACCTTGATGGACCGTGGGCCTGATTCAGTATAAGGCAGACTGAAGTGTGTTCATGTGAACAAAATTTGGGGAGGGTGCCTTGGCTCAGTGGAAGAGCCTCCAAGCATTGCATGCAGAAGGTCCCAGGTTTGAACCCCAGCATCTCCAGTTAAAGGGATCTGACCAGCAGGTGATGTGAAAGATTTCCCTGAGACCCTGGAGACAATACTGACTTTGATGGACCAGGGGGTCTGATTCGGTCCTTTGTGTTCAGTAGAGGGAAGAGGGTAGAACGTTCCCTGCAGAAATGTTTCACGGTTCACCTTCCCTTCCTGGTTCTCAGCCGCTCTCACCCCTGTCGTCCTGTCCTCCCAGCCCTCTGTAAGCAGAGTCCCCGTTTCCTCTGCAACTGGAGCCTCACTCTTTTCCCCTCCTCCATCCAGTCCCACCCTTGGTTCCTAATCGCCATCTCTTTTTTCCCTAATTTTTTTTTTTAAATTCAACAATTAACAATCGAAATAAAACATAAATATATCTTAATATGAAAGAACAACTTTGGTTCAATAAGATATTACAGTACTATTAACATTAAAAAATAATTTCAAGGTACAAAAAGGTTAGCGCTCGATGCTCACCAAATATTGAGAGGTTATTCTTTCTTAAGAGTTTTCCCTCAGTAAGAATTCTACAGATAAATTCCGTGACTAAGATCCAAGCAACCAACCTGTTTTCAAAAAACCTATCGTATCGTCTCTGAGAAGGTCTATAATCCTCAAGTATTTTGTTCCAACTTTTTTTTTTAGAATTTTGAGTACCAGGGTGCTTAAAATCAAATAAGATTCAAACATACTACTTATGTTAACCAGAGACTAAGTACGAGCTATTGTAGTAGGTGTTGTTTGTTATTGTCTTGTTGTTATGTGATTGCTGTTGTTTTTGTTGTTTTTATTTTTTGTAGTGACTTTCTCTCTGAGAATAATAAAATGTCCTGGCTTCGGCCAGGGTAACATAAAAAAAAAGAAAGAAAGAAAGAATTTTGAGTACCCTGAAAAGGAGTCACGGTTAGCAATACGACCTGATACCTTGTCCATTATTAAATGGCTCCAGATTCTAGAATACCGTTGCCTGATACTAATCGCCTGCTTCGTCCCGGCTCACCCAGGCTCGCTCACCCGTACCAGTACGAACTGGAGCATTTCTCCCCAGCAGCTGATCTTCTCGAGAAACCGCAAGTCCAGGTGAGTTTCCTTGCTTCGAGGCCAGCCCCCTCCCCCGGCAGCCCCTCCGGCTCTGGTGCCGCCATCGGCGGGGGCTGGTGGCTCATCCCGTGTGTCGCTTTCCCGGCCAGGTGCTCCAGCCTGTCTCGGAAACCCCATGCCACTTCGTCTCCACCTTGGACCAGCTGGTGGAGTTGAACGAGAAGCTCCTGTGCTGTAAAGAATTTGCCCTGGACTTGGAGGTAAAATGTTTCTCTGGGCCTTCCCGGGGGGGGGGGGGGTGTCTCTCTGTGTGTATGTGTGTGTAGTGTTGGTGTAGTGGTTAAGTGCGCGGATTCTAATCTGGGAGAACCGGGTTTGATTCCCCACTCCTCCACTTGCACCTGTCTGGATGACCTTGGGCAAGCCGTAGTTCTGGCACAGCTGTCCTTGAAAAAGAGCAGTTTCTGTCAGAGCTCTCTCAGCCCCACCTACCTCACAGCGTGTCTGTTGTGGGGAGGGGAAGAGAAAGGAGATTGTAAGCCGCTTTGAGACTCCTTCGGGTAGTGAAGGACAGTTATGAATCCAATCTCTCTTCTTCTTATTTTCTTTTGTCTTTCAAAACAGTTGTAATTTTCTTGAGTGTCTGACTATAAAGAAAAGCAATTTTTCTTCTGTTCCCCACACAATGTCTTTAAAAGGGGGGACAAAACATATTCTTAGGGGACAGGTCCAACAATGGCTGTTTGCTATGATGACTCAATGGTGCCTCCATATTCAGAGGCAGTATACCCCTAAATACCCAGTTGCTGGCAAGCAACAGCAGGGAGAGGCTTGGGCTTCCGTGCCTTCGATTTTGGGACTTCCAGGGCATCTTGTTCACTAGCATGCTGGACTATGAGCACCAGTTTGGTGTAGTGGTCAAGAGCATGAACTCTAATCTGGGAGAACCGGGTTTGATTCCCCACTCCTCCACTTGCACCTGGCTGGATGACCTTGGGTCAATCACAAGTTCTCTCAGAGCTGTTCTCTCAAAGGCAGTCCTCAAAAGAGCTCTCTCAGCCCCACCTATCTCACAGGGTGTCTGTTGTGGGGAAGGGAAAGGAGATGGTAAGCCACTCTGAGACTCCTTTGGGTAGTGAAGGGCGGGGTATAAATCCAATCTCTTCTTTTCTACGTGGACTGTCAGTCTGGTGAAATTGGTCAGTAGTTGTTTGGAAGAATCCTCTCTGTTCAGGAGCAGTGTACCTCTGAATATCAGATGCTGGGACCGGTAGAGGCTACCCATCTTGCTCTGCTGTTGAGCTTCCACAGAGCATCCGATTGGCCACTATGACAGAATGGGATGCTGGCCCTCCCATTTGGTCCAACCCAGCTGGGTTCTTCTGCTGTTCTGAACGCACTTTTCATCCATGTGTCACCAGCACCATTCCTACCGGAGCTTTCTGGGCTTGACGTGCCTGATGCAAATCTCCACCCGGACGGAAGATTTCATCATCGACACCCTGGAGCTGCGCAGCGACTTGTACATCTTGAACGAAACCTTCACAGACCCGGCAATTGTCAAGGTGAGCTGGGGGGAGATGGACTTTGCGCATTGCGAGGAGTCACAGTTGGACAGATCTGCATTGGCACGTCTGGAAGCTGATTGGCTGTTCTGCTGAATCTTTATTTTTTTCCCCCATTTCAAAAAGTTAGTTAGGGGTTATATCACATAAACATGCTCAGTCTGACACAGGTTTAGACTGGATCCCCCCCCCTTTTTTTAACTATAGTAAAGGTATAGGTTTCCCTTGCTCAAAAACCAGTCAAATCCAACTCTAGGGGGCAGTGCTCATCTCCATTTCCAAGCCAAAGAGCCAACGCTGTCCAAAGACGTTTCCGTGGTCATGTGGCCGGCATGACTAAATGCTGAGGCACATGGAACGCTGTTACATGCCATTTAAAATTAATACAGGCAATGCCAAAGTTTTCTCTTTTTGTAGCTAAACTTTACTGTCAACAGTTGTGTCATAACAATTCTTAGTGGTTTCTCTATTAGCGTAACTGAGATCTGTTCTAGCACACATAAATCTGCCGTATACTGAATCACATCCTTGGTCCATCAAAGTCAGTGCTGACTACTTAGACTGGCAGCGGCTCACTGGAGTCTCAGCCTGAGGTCTTCCCCATCGCCTCCTGCCTGGTCCTTTTTTAACTGGAGATGCCAGGGATTGAACCTGGGACCTTCTGCATGCCGAGCAGAGGCTCTACCACTGAGCCACGGCCCCTCCTCTGCCTTAACCTCCAACTTCCAGGAGAAGGTTTGAGCCTTTCCTCGACTTCCTTTTCTGCCCACTCCCCTCCATTCCTCCCCCCACCCCCAGTGTATGTCTTTTTCTTTAAAGTCGGCCATTTCTTCCTTGGAGAGAAATGGAAATGGACAATCTGGAGAGAGACAGGAAAGGGGTGCTGAGCTGTTTCCTCCCCTCCTTCCAGAAGTCCCTTCATTGGTTTCATTCGACTGTTGAGAGTAGAGGGCAGACCATCCCTGGTCTGTTTCGGCCGTCTTGCCCTTGGTATCGTGGTTAAGTGTGCGGACTCTAGTCTGGGAGAACCAGGAAGGGAATTTCCTGTCTTGAGCCGGAAAGGTCAAGCAAAAGACCTAACAGTCCCTCACTATAAAGAGAATTTATCCTAAGCTTGGCTAAATTCCTTTTGCTTGGCCAGACTGGATGGCCAGTTCTCAGGCATAACGTATGCAGACAGAGTTTGTAAATGTGAATCTGGTTCACTAGAATCCTTAGAATGTATTTTATTGGAGTGTGAAATCTGGCCTGATTTGACAGAAAGCCAGTTTGGGGTAGTGGTTAGGAGCACGGACTCTAATCTGGGAGAACCAGGATTGATTCCCCACTCCTCCACATGCAACTGCTGGTGTGACCTTGGGTCAGTCACAAGTTCTCTCAGAGCTGTTTTCTCCAGGGCAGTCCTTGAAAGAGCTCTCTCAGCCCCACCTACCTCACAGGGTGTCTGTTGAGGGGAGGGGGAGGGAAAGGAGATCGTAAGCCGCTCTGAGACTCCAGGTGAAGGGCAGGGTATGAATCCAACCTCTTCTTCTGATGCCTTCCCCCTTCCTTTGCAGGTCTTGCACGGGGCCGACTCCGACGTGGACTGGCTCCAGCGGGACTTCGGCCTCTACCTGGTGAACATGTTCGACACCCACCAGGCGGCCCGGCTCCTCAACCTGGGCAAGCACTCGCTGGACCACCTGCTCAAGGTCTACTGCGACGTGGATGCGAACAAGCAGTACCAGCTGGCTGACTGGCGGATCCGGTAATGGGCCGTCTCTCCCCCTTCCCCTCCCCGATTCCTGATGTGGAAGATGAAGGAAGCAGGGAAGGTCTTCTGGGAAGAAGCGCGGGAGCCCCGGTCTGTGGCTGCAGCGGCAGTGTCTGAACCTGACGTGGCCCAGGACTGGAGTGGGAGGGAAACGTGGAAGGAGGAGGATCCCCCCACCCACCCACAATCAGTGCTCCCTCTAAGCTGTGGAGCCTTGTGAGCAAACATTCTGCTTTGTGAGCTCCTGGCATTCAAGTGGTGAGCGAGTCATCTGGCTGCTGCATCAATCAGTTTGCTCTGGAGCCCTCCTTCCTGAGCTAAGGCAAAAATGTGTGAGCCGGGGGCTAAAGAACTGTGAGCTCGCTCGCACTCATCTTGGAGGGAACACTGCCCACAATCCCTGCCACACCTGAGACCTCAAGCATGTTCCTGTTGCCGGGCCAGCACTCTTGTCGGAGGCTCTGTTCAGGGGATGGGGGGAGGTAGAGAAGCAGAAACCCCGCCCTACCCCAATTGGGCCCATCTGCCTCCAGAATCTTCCACAGTCCTCCTTCTCTCCTCCCCCCAACCCCAAGAGGGTGGCAGTCCAAAAGTCTGGACTGGAAGGGGTGCATGCCTGGGAGCCCGGGGTTGGTATCCAGCAACGCATTCCAAGAAGGGAACTGAGCTCAGAATCTTAATACATTACGTCCTAGTGTATGACCCAGTGGCTGGGAGAACCCATTGTGATTCGGGAGTAGGGCTGTTGCAGGGAAAGGAATTTCTTTCCCGAAAATTCGCTGTTTAAAATACAAGCACTGCATCCTCTTCTTCTCCTTTTCTCTTTTAAGGGAGGGGTCTCTCTTCCCTTTCTCTTTGTAGAGAAATCAGTGCACGCTTTTGTCACTTCAGCCCTTGCAGCGATTTCACGTCATGCGCCACAGGGTGGAGCTCTGAGGGTAGGAGGCATTGGGAGAACGTTGCCTGCCTCTGAGCATCTGCAGAGGGCAGTCCTGAAATCTTGCAAGACCTCCTTTCTCATCCTTCCTCTCTCTGAATTTCAATTTTGATCAAAATGGAATCGATTTGAAACAGACTTCAGGTTCCTAAAAAGAGGGAAAGAATATCAGAAGAGCCCTGCTGGATCTGACCAGTGGTCCATCTAGTCCAGCATCCTGTCTCACACAGTGGCCTATCAGTTCCTATGGAGGGCCAAAAACAGGGCATGGAGGTCGAGGCCTTCATAAGAACATCAGAAGAGCCCTGCTGGATCAGACCAGTGGTCCATCTGTTCCAGCATCTTGTCTCACACAGTGACCAACCAGTTCCTCTGGATGGCCAACAACAGGGCATGGAGGCCGAGGCCTTCATTAGAATATCAGAAGAAGTCCATCTGGCCCAGCATCTTGTCTCTCACAGTGGCCAACCAGTTCCTCTGGAGGGCCGACAAACCGGGCATAGAGGCTGAGGCCTTTGGAAGAACATCAGAAGAGCCCTGCTGGATCTGACCAGTGGTCCATCTAGTCCAGCATCCTGTCTCACACAGTGGCCAGCCAGTTCCTCTGGAGGGCCAACAACAGGGCATAGAGGCCGAGGTCTTCCCCTTGTAAGAACATCAGAAGAGCCCTGCTGGATTAGACCAATAGTCTATCTAGTCCAGCATCCTGTCTCTTACAGTGGCCAACCAGTCACCCTCAGGAGTCAGACAAACAAAGTGTAGAGGCCGAGGCCTTCCCCTTATGCTGCCCCCTGGCGCTGGTATTCAGAGACTGTTGGATTTCAGGAGAAATTGGGTAAAGAGGAATTAAGATAACTTCTCAGAACAGCCCTATTCAGGAAGTCCCAGTTCAAATCTTGCCACTGCTGTGAGCTAAGGAAGCTGTCATTCTTCAACCTCAGCCCCCACCCCTTCCTGCAGAATGAGCATTATAGTCCTGGCTTACCTTACAGGGTTGTTGTAAAGATTATTGCAAGATAATGTGGGTGAAGCCCTTAGAATGGTGAAAGCACAACTCGGATGTTGATGGTGGGGAATGTGCTTCGTTATCGCTATTAACTCCTGTAGCACTGTTAGCTATTACTATTAATGTATTCCTCCCCCACCCCGTTCAGATACATAATTTTCTCCAAGGAAAAAAGGATCGATGTGGTCACATTTTGCTGGGGACGGACTCGGGGAGGGAGGAATCCAACTTTATCTTTCTCCCGTTCTGTTCCTCTTCCAGTCCCCTGCCGGAGGCGATGGTCCAGTACGCACGCGACGACACTCACTACCTGCTCTACATCTATGACCGAATGAAGGAGGACCTCTGGGAGAAGGGGAACGGGCAGCCAGCTCTTCTGCAGTCCGTGTGGCAGCGGAGCAAGGCCATCTGCTTGAAGGTCAGCCCCTGGCGTCGCTCCCCCCCGGTGGGAGGGCATCAGGACTCCAGGGTCAGTGAGAGAGGCTTCGAGGCCGGCACTCGGGGACACCTGGTGGTGTTTCCAGCCGCTTCTCTATCCTACAGAGACATACCTTGGCTTCTGTTCCTTCTGCATCCACAAAGCATTAGTCTTGGAAAGTACCGCACAGACTGAGAAATCACGCACGGAAAGCAGCATATTGATCAACGGGTAAAATGAAGCAGAAACAACACTCCCCCAAAAGTCTCTGCTTTCGCTTGGTTTCCAGAGGCGGAGCAGAGTTGCTTCCCTAGGAAAGGGGTTTGCACAATCTCAGTACAGCTTGCCATGTGGGACTGGTAGCCGTACCTGACCGGGGTGGTGGGCAGTGTCCCCCCCCCCCCCCCCAAGCTGAGTTAGTGTGAGCCAGCTCACAGTTTTTTAGCCTCTGGCTCACACGTTTTTCCTTCGCTCAGGAAGGAGGGCTCCAGAGCAGACTAACTGATGCAGCAGCCAAATCGCTCGCTCACAACTTTAATGCCAGTTGCTCACAAAGTAGAATTTTTGCTCACGAGACTCCACAGCTTAGAGGGTGCATTGGTGTTGGGCACGCAAGAGAAGGCCCCTGAGTCAGATTGTCATATGGGGAGACAGGTTCACACAGGAGACAGGTTCATACAGTTCCTGGAGTCCCATCAGGTGATGCAGCTAGAAACCTTTTGAGGTTGCAAAGAGATCCTGAGAAGGCTGCCTTCACACTGGAGAGCTTTCTTTGCTCTTCCAACTGCCTCTCTTCTCTCCCCAGAAATACTTGAAGCCCCTCTTCACCGATGAGTCGTACCGCGAGCTCTACCGCAAGCAGAAGAAACTCCTCAACAGCCAGCAGCTGACGGCTTTCCGGCTCCTCTTTGCCTGGCGAGATAAGATGGCGCGCCAAGAGGATGAGAGCACTGGGTGAGGGGGGCATGGGTCTCGGGAAACGGGAACCCCCGGGTCTGCGGCAGCCAGTTCTGACTCCTGGCCGGCTTTCTGGCTTCTTCTGTGCTGTTAATGAGTGGTGTGTGTCAGAGCCCCTGGAGACATCAGTTCCCAACAACAGTCATTCAGGAGAATTAAAGTTTATTGAGACATTGATAGGATCCAGACTCTTTGTTAGAACTGAGGTTAAGTGCGCGAAGCAAGCAATTATACTTAAACAGCATATTGATGGGCCTGGGCCAATCACACGTAAGCTAAAAGCCCGCCTGAATAATGGCATATAATTCTCAGGGGAAAGAGGATCCCGGGGGTAGTTAGATCTCAAGGTTACCTGGCCGAGTCAAGACAGATAACAGCATAGTATGAAAGTATACATTCTTGTTCTCACACACACACCCATGTCTTCATGACAACCAAGCCCAAGAAGGGGCCAGGTTGACAGTGTGTAGGTTAGTTTGGTGTCATGGTTAAGTGCGTGGACTCTAATCTGGGAGAACCAGGTTTGATTCCCCACTCCTCCACTTGCACCTGGCTGGACGACCTTGGGCAAGCCGTAGTCCTGACAAGAGCTGTTCTCGAAAAAGAGCAGTTTCTGTCGGAGCTCTCTCAGCCCCACCTACCTCACAAGGTGTTTGTGGTGGGGAGGGGAAGGGAAAGGAGTTTGTAAGCCGCTCTGAGACTCCTTTGGGTAGTGAGAGGGTGTGTGTAAATCCAATCTCCTCGTCCTCCACTTAGGTTCTTGGTTTAATTAAGGCATTCCCAACACTGTTTAAAGAAAGCAGGTCTTTCCTCTTTCCCACAGTAGCCAATGGTTTTGCGAACTGTCTGCATCTGGTGGCAATCGTTCCATTGTTCCTGATACAGAAAATGACCCTTGTTGCGTCTTAAATGCCAGCTGAGTTTTCACAGCAGAAACTTTTGTGGACTAGAACGCATGAAGGTGTGGTCCCCAGCAGGCAGGGATGTGTGTGCACGTATACCTGTGGTATCAGCAGTGAGGCTCAGGGTTCCTGAAGTTTCAGAGGCAGCAGTAGATTCCAATAAATCGAGTACTCTGCTGGAACCTCCATGTTCAGTGGCAGTATACCTGTATGTCCCAGAATCTGGAAGCAAGATAATGCTCTAACAGTCTGTTTTCATTTTGGTTCTGATGCTTTTCAGTTGGCTTTTCTTCCAAGGCTGCTTCAAAGGGTTCTCTTGCCTGATACGGCTGTTTTATGGTTAGCAGTGGGCTTTGATTATTATATGATTATTACCTCGGGAGCCCCCCAACAGCCTTTTTCAGACATCAGGATAGAAAATGGATGGGGAAGGCTGTTCTCTTTAAAGGTAAAGGTTTCCCTTGCTCGAAAGCCAGTCGAATCCGACTCTAGGGGGTGGTGCTCATCTCCATTTCCAAGCTGAAGAGCCAGTGCTGTCCAAAGACTTTTGTCATGGTCATGTGACCGGCATGACTAACCGCCGAGGCGCACGGAACGCTGTTACCTTCCCACCGAAGCAGTACCTATTTATCTACTTGCAATTTCTTGCTTTCGAATTGCTGGGGCTTCTAAATACAAGCTTTAAATAAAACTCCTACTTCATATTTTTATGCTGCCTTTCCTCCGGGAATTTTGGGGCGGAGAGCTGGGTTCTGCCCTTCCATTTTGTCTTCACAGCAGTTCTTTGAGGTAGGTTCGGCTGAGAGTGTGACTGGCCACAGAGCACCCCGTGACCTTCCTGGCTGAACAGGGCATTTCAAGCCAGCTCTTCCAGATCCTCACCTGACCCTTTCAGCTGGTCCAATTTTGTTGTTTGTTGGTGTTCTTTCGGTACCTGATTGCACTGTGTGATATCCTGCAATCTGCCTTCCATCTCAGCAAGGAAGGCAGACGAGAAGTAAATCATCACTACACCACACCAAGTATCATTAGGGTTGCCAGCTCAGGTTTGGGGAATCCCTGGAGATCTGTAGGGTCGAGCCTGGGGAGGGCAGTGTTTGGGGAGGGGAGCGATCTCAGTGTGCTATGATGACGGAGTGAGCTCCCATCTCTGGTCCCAGCTCCTGCCAACCGAGCAGTTCGAAAGCAAGAAATTGCAAGTAGATAAATAAGGTAGCGCTTCAGTGGGAATATAACAGCGTTCCCTGCGTCTTAGCATCTAGTCATGCCGGCCACATCACCATGGAAACGTCTCTGGACAGCGCTGGCTCTTCGGCTTGGAAACGGAGATGAGCACCGCACCCCTGGAGTCGGATTCAACTGGCTTTCGAGCAAGGGAAACCTTTAGAGTCTGAGGAGGCTGAGATTGGCGGAGGACAGAAAACGTAGCAGAGTGTAATGCCAGAGAGTCCACCCTCCAAAGCAGCCATTTTCTTCGGGGGAACTGATCTCCGTCATCTGGAGATCAGTTGTGATTCCAGGAAATCTCCAGGCCCCACCAAGAGGCTAGGATCCCTAGCCGTCATGCTGGTGGGCTTCACAGAAGAGCCACTGCAGAGAACAGGAAGGTGGACTCGACGGAGGCTTGGTCTGACCAGCAAGGCCGCTCTTTGCCAGACAGACGGCTCCAACAGCCATTTAGTTCAGTGACTCGTCCTGAACTTTCAGAGCAGAAGTGGCCAGGGACCGCAAGAGGTGACGCTGCTCTCGTTTTTGTTTTGCCCCCTTAGGTACGTGCTACCAAACCACATGCTGCTGAAGATCTCCGAGGAGCTGCCCAAGTAAGCAGATAAAATTTGGGGTTATGCGTCCGTGTCAGCCTTTAATCGCAGATGAGCCAAGGCAGAGGGAAGAGCTTTGGGGAAGAGCTTTGCTATGCTAGCCACACTTTGGCCTCTCCGACACGGCACTCATGCCGCAGAGCGGGGGGCCTCTTTCAGCCGGAAGGGGTGACCCATCATGGCAACAGCTCCTTATCTCGGGAGCGCCTTGCCAGTCCTGATGCAAACCCAGAAGGGAATTCCACGGGTGGTTGTGGTGGGCAGAGCCCTGCCGCAGTGGCTGTCGGGAAGCCTGTGGGAGCTGGCCCAAGGCTGTGCATGGACAGCTGCAACTGCCCCTGCTGTGTTCTGCTTCCATGGGAACCTGAAATGTGAAAGGGGGGGTGGGAACCAAAAGTCTTTCTTGGACCTCCCATACACACGTCACCAAGGGGGCAGGGCTGCTTCAGACGGGTGTGCTGCCGAGCAAAGCCATTTGAGATGGCTCGTATGAGCAAGCCAAGTTGCATGTGCAGCAATTTCTAAAGATCAGCTGTATTAAAAGCAGGCAAACAGGCCCTGCTGCAGGTGTCGAGAAGAGGATGGCTTCATCCCTTTCTTCGGGCTCAGGTGCCCGAAAGGGGTCTCCATCTTTGCTACCAAACGATCGCCACAAAACCCAAGCCCCTCCCTTCTTGCTTCAGAGCCTTCCGGACTGATGCCAGAAGGAACAGAGACGTCATCCGTTCCAAAGGCTCTCGTTTTGATTATCTGCCCCATGTGTGTATTTTTAAGGTCTGTCCCGTGGTTTCCTTGCCTCGCCAGCTGCCCAAATGCTCCACAAATAAACTTCCTCCCCCCCCCCCTTCTGTCTGCAGGGAGCCCCAGGGCATCATCGCCTGCTGCAACCCGGTCCCACCGCTCGTCCGCCAGCAGATCAACGAAATGCACCTCTTAATCCAGCAGGCCCGAGAGATGCCCCTGCTTAAGGTATTATTCACCCTACTTGCTTCATTTCTACCCCGCCTTCCTCCCTGGTGGCGACCCGTGGTGGCTGACATAGTTGCCCTTTTTTCCATTTTATCCTCACAACAGCCCTGCGAGGTAGCTTAGGCTGAGACCGAGTGACTGGCCCGAGGTCACACAGCAAGCTTCCGTGGCAGAGTGGGGATTCAAACCTGGGTCTCCCAGACCCTCGTCTGACACTCTAACCATTGCAGTACACTGCGGAGGTCGTAGCTAATGTGCCCTCTAAGCTGTGGAGTCTTGTGAGCAAAAATTCTTCTTTGTGAGCTACTGGCATTAAAGTTCTGAGCGGGTGATTTGGCCTACTGCCTAAATCAGTTTGCTCTGGAGCCCCATCCTTCCTGAGCCAAGACAAGAATGTGTGAGCCAGAGGCTAAAAAAACTTTTAGCTAGCTCATACTAACTCAGCTTAGAGGGAACACTGGTCCTAACATGCAGTGCCCCACTGCTCATGACACTGGTAGCTAGAGTGGTCAAGCAGATAACGTTGGCCAGAAAGAAGAAAATTCCTCTCCCTGAAATGCCCCTCTGTTGGCGCCAAATTAATCCTAATTGGTGTGATCCGGATAAAATTATGCCCTGTCTGCCGATGCTCTGTTGCTGACCAAACCCAAAAGCCACACTAGCCTTTGGTGGGGGCAGGATTAAAAAACACAATATTTCCAGCCCTGGACTTAAGACTTCTGGTTTACGTCCCATATACAGAATTCCAGGCGGGGTTGAATAAAGGGAGTCCGTGCAGCTGGTACACAGTGTTCCCTCCAAACTGAGTTAGTGTGAGCTAGCTCACAGTTTTTTAGCCTCCGGCTCACACTTTTTTTGTCTTAGCTCAGGAAGGAGGGCTCCAGAGCAAACTAATCTGTGCAGTAGCCCAATCGCTCGCTCCCAACTTTAAGGCCAGTAGCTCACAAAGTAGAATTTTTGCTCACAAGACTCCACAGCTTAGAGGGAGCATTGCAGTGGTACACCAATTGCATGTTTGCCCTCCTGGGAAGCAGAAGAAACAACAGCAGCTGCCTCCGGTTGAAAATACAATGGGCAAAAAATTGATCAGATATCTTTAACTCCCCATAGATAGCAAGACAAAGCAGCATAGAGAGAATGTTTGTCAATATTCTGTATCCCATCAGCACAACTCGGCCCATGACTGGGAAAGGGAGGCTTGGACATAGTACGCTGCAGCCAGAATTGAGTGGGGGGTGGGAGGGGGAGGACGTGTAAAAATGAGATTCAGAGGCAATCAGTGACTTCTCATCTTTTCATCCACTTTTAGTCTGAAGTTTCGGTTGGAGTGAAAAAGAAAGGACCTCTTCCCAACCCAGAGGTACGCTGTTTCTGATATCGGCGCTAAAGGGAGGGGGTCGTGGTTTCAGTGATAAGTGCAGAAGGTACCCGGTCCAGGCTCCCAACATCACCACTCGAAAGGATCAGGAGGTGTGAAAGACCCTCTAGATCTGAGACCCTGGAGAGCTCTCGCTGCCAGTCAAGAGCAGCCAATGCTGACCTTGACAAACCAAGGATCGAGCTCAGTCTAAGGCAGCCCTCCTGCCGCGTTCCCGCGCTTCAGTTATTTATTTATTTATTTTTAAATGTATATCCCACCCTCCCCGAAGGCTCAGGGCAGCTCACAAGGGGCATAAATGCCGAGGTTAAAACCATAAAACGACACAAAGCAGTATAAAATACAATAAATACAATTCACTAAAAATTCCTTCCACGGTGCTCCAAGGATATTTAACTATAGGATTCAAGATGGGGTTCCAAGATAATTTATGCTAAGCAACAAACAGTAGTGATAATAATATACAATAACAACAACATACGTCCCTACAGCACTGTCATCTGCCACAAACGTCTCATGCCCCCGGTATTGTCCGCTCCAGAGATGGTCAATTTGCGGAATTAAGAAGAAAGGGGGGGTGCAGATGGAATAATGATGGCGGATGATGGTGGCGGCGGCTCCTACTCGAAAGCCTGGCGGAAGAGCTCCATTTTACAGGCCCTGCGGAACTGCACCAGGTCCCGCAGGGCCCGGATCTCCTCTGGGAGCTCATTCCATGGCCCTGGTGACAGCTGGAGCCTGGGATATCCAGGAGGTTTAGATTCCCCGACTGTAAAAGGTAAAGGTAAAGGTTCCCTTGCTCGAAAGCCAGTCGAGTCCGACTCTAGGGTTGCGGTGCTCATCTCCATTTCAAAGCCGAAGAGCCAGCGCTGTCCGGAGACGTTTCCGTGGTCATGTGGCCGCCATGACTAAACACCCAAGGCGCACGGAACGCTGTTCCCTTCCCACCGAAGTGGTACCTATTTATCTACTTGCAATTTCTTGCTTTCGAACTGCTGGGTTGGCAGGAGCTGGAACTAGAGACGGGAGCTCACTCCGTCATGCGGCACACTCAGGTCTCGAACTGCTGAACAACCGACCTTCCACAGCCTGCAGTTCAGCGTCTTAACCACTTGAGCCACCGCAGCTCAATTTTGATGCAAACGCCACATTATCTTCTGTGTTGCTGTATGCTGCAACGACTGGTTTTAATATCTTATATTGTGTTTTTAAATTCTGTTGTAATTATTGAGATGTGATGTGACACGCCCTGAGCCCACTCGCGGGGTGGGCGGGATATAATTGCGGAAAATAAGTACATTTACAAAATTTGTATTCTCGCCCACCTTCTGCCCTGTTCTGCTTTCCCTGGGATATCATTCTGAGGTTTGGGGTGTGGGGGGGAGATCCCAGACCCCCTAGCAGTGTTAAGACAGCCTGAACAATGCTGTTTTTAAATGGGACGCTCTAATCAATTCCTTTTGAGGACCGAAGTGGTAACTGTAGATAACAGCAACAGTCAGCATTTGTGTCCCTCCCCCCTTTAAACTTTGGTCCTTCTAGGATAAATTGAAACGGCAAAGTGGGTTAGGGTTATTTAGCAGAATGCGTTTTGATGGTCGCATCGAAACACAGGTATAATCCTCCACTTCCCGACTCCTAGAGCTATCGGGGCATTCTCTTCCACTCTCCCTGGAGAAGAACAGCCAGTCTCCGCTTCAGTGGGACAGAGAGATCTCCAGGGGGAGGGGCAAGGGGACCTACTCTGGTGGCATTCGCCGGAACCAGCGGTTGTGTCAGGGTGCTGGGTTGAAACATCTGGACAGGGGCCCCTGTGGGCTTCCCCCACTTTTTAACAGTTTTTTGAACTGTGCATTGGGTTACCTGAAGCCTTTTGTTCATGAGTGCACAACCAGCCAGATGCCGTTCTAAGCCTGCTCTTTTTCTTTCGGCAGAAACCGGAGAACCGCTTGTTCGGCCCACACGACAGCTCGCACGTTCCTCAGGAAGAGAAGCAGAACCAGTCGGAACCTGGTAATTCTGGAAGGGACCAGAAAGCAGCCCGTTTAGAAATCGGGACTGGTTTGATCAAGGTTTGGGATGCAGAAATCCCGGTGCCCCCCTCGCTGCCGACATTTAGGACGTGGGGCCGACAATTGGGGTGAGAAAGACCATGGGACGAATATTTTCATTGGATTTTAAAGTTTCCTAAAAGGCCAAGAAGACAAGACCATAAAACGGATCTCAAGGAAGATTTACAATCTCATAAACGGCAGTGCTCACGTGTCCCCCCTCGCTGCCACCTTCTCGTCCGGGGCCCCGTTGACCTGTTTTCTGTCTCTTGCTCCTCTTTGCCTCCTCCTGCAGAGCCCGGACTGGCCCTGGAGCACAGCAGTCTCTTCTCCAAAGCAAAAGAGGAAGCGGACGGGATGGAAGAGTTGCCGATTTCGCTGTGCCTCCTTTTGAGCGCCAGCATCAGTATTTTCAATGTAAGTGCTGCAGAGGGGATTGGAAAGCGGGCAGGCAGGAGACCTTGGGCCCGTCACAATCTCTTGGCCTGACCCCGACCTCACAAGGCTGTTGTCGTGTGGGGGTGGGGGGGGGGGGGGAAGGATGCGAAAAGCCCCTTTGAACCTCCAATTGGGGAGAAAAGCGGGATATAAATTAAAGAATGAACTGGAAAATCATTACTGGATAAGCCACGAAACAATCGCTGAAATCTGCCGGGATAAATAATTGAATGGCAACGCCCTCCAGAGCCAGCCAAATCCAAACCTAACCGGGAGACATACCTCTTCATCCAAAAGGTCTTTTGATCCCTGTTGCGGTTTTTCTGCATCCCACCAAGGAGCCTCAGGCGGAGTCGTGTGGATGGTCCTCTTCCAATTTTATCTTCATAGCCACCCTGTGAGCAGTGTTCCCTCTAAGCTGAGTGAGTGTGAGCTAGCTCACAGTTTTCTAGCCTCCGGCTCACACATTTTTGTCTGAGCTCAGGAAGGAGGGCTCCAGAGCAAACTAATCTATGCAGCAGCCAAATCGCCCGCTCGCCACTTTAGTGCCAGCAGCTCACGAAGTAGAATTTTGCTCACAAGACTCCACAGCTCAGAGGGAGCATTGCCTGTGAGGTAGGCTGACTAGCTCAAGATCGCACCTGGATCTTTGCAGCCGAGCCGGGATTTGTATTCAAGCCTCTCTGGCCCACAGCTGATGTGCAACTCCGGCTGTGACAGAGCAAGGTCTCTCCTGACTGCCAAAGTGGAGGTCCAGGCAGGGAGTTCTGAAATGTTGCCCACGATTGCTAACAGTTGCATGCCAACTTGTATTCCCAAAGGAGCCTGAAGCCGGCGAGAAGAAGGATGAGAACTTAACCGTGGCCCAGCAGAAAGCCCGACGCATCATGGAGTCCTTCGAAAATCCCTTTCGAATGGTAAATGGAGCTGACAGTCAGATGAGTCAAGGCACTTAATTGGATCAGAAAGCCAGTGTGGTGTCGTGGTTAAGAGCGTAGGACTCCGTCTTGGGGGACTGGGTTTGATTCCTCACTTTTCCTCCACCCTACTTCCCAGAGTGCCTGCCGTGGGGAGAGGAAGGGAAGGGGATGGTAAGCCGCTCCGAGACGCCTTAAGGTGGAGAAAAGTGGGGTATGAAAACCAGTCCCTCTTTGCAGTTTTTGAAATAGAAATAGCAAAGGACCCCAGTTTGGTTCCGGGCCCCAGGGAGGGAGGAGATTTAAGACTTTGACGCTTTTGTGGAGAAAACCTTGACCACCTCTGTTGACAGCGCTGATGGCGAAAAGCCTGTCCCCTCCACGGGCCGGCACATCTGAGTGTCGGACACATCTCCCCCAGATCGCAATTGGAGAGGCCTCCCTTGAGCCCCAGGCCTTGGGGGTAGCTAATGCAGACCGTCACGAGGATCTCTTTGTCTTTCTCTCAGTATCTGCCAGCGGAGCAGAACCCGGCTCACGTCTCCCAGGCGGCAAAGTTTGATCCCTCCTCAAAAATCTACGAGGTAGGTGCCTCGTGGGTGGACCTTTTGAAATGTCCCAAAGAAGTGTGACCGCTACCTGTTGCAATAGGAAAGAGCAAGAAGAGTCCAGCAGCGCCTTAAAAGGTAAAGGTAAAGGTTCCCTTGCTAGAAAGCCAGTCGAGTCCGACTCTAGGGTTGCGGTGCTCGTCTCCGTTTCCAAGCCGAAGAGCCAGCGCTGTCCGAAGACGTTTCTGTGGTCATGTGGCCGGCGTGACTAGACACCAAGGCGCACGGAACGCTGTGACCTTCCCACCGAAGCGGTACCTATTTATCTACTTGCAATTTCTGGCTTTCGAACTGCTGGGTTGGCAGGAGCTGGAACCAGAGACGGGTGCTCACTCCGTCATGCGGCGCACTCGGGTCTCGAACTGCTGAACGACCGACCTTCCACAGCCTGCAGTTCAGCGTCTTAACCACTTGAGCCACCGCAGCGCTTTAAAGACTAACAAAACTTGTGGCCGGGGGAGGAACATAAGAGATGCCAATGTTGGATCAGGCCAAAGGCCCATCCAGTCCAACACTCTGTATCACACAGTGGCCAGAAATACCAGGTGCCATCAGGAGGTCCACCAGTGGGGCCAGGATATTAGAAGCCCTCCCACTGTTGACCCCCCCCCCAAGCACCAAGATGACACAGCATCACTTGCCCCAGAGTCCCTATCTATACCTTGTGGCTAATATCCACTGATGGACCTCTGCTCCATATGCTTATCTAATTCCCTTTTGAAGCCGTCCATGCTTGTAGCCGCCACCACTTCCTGTGGCAGTGAATTCCATGTGTTAATCACTCTTTGGGTGAAGAAGTACTTCCTTTTATCCATTCTAACCCGACCGCTCAGCAATTTCATGGAGTGCCCACGAGTTCTTGTATTGTGAGAAAGGGAGAAAAGTACCTCTTTCTCTACCTGCTCTATCTCATGCTTAATCTTATAAACCTCGATCATGTCACCCCTCAGTCGTCTTTTCTCCAAGCTAAAGAGCCCCAAGCGCCTTAACCTTTCCTCATAGGGAAAGTGTTCCAACCCTTTTATCATTCGAGGTTTCGGGAGGCACTGGCTCACTTCCCGGAAGCTCCTACCCTGCCACAAACATTGTTGGTCTTCAAGGTGCGCCTGGACTCTGGCTCTTTCCTGCTGCCACACACAGACTGAGACGGCCACCCATCCTGTGTGCGTGTGCGCGCACGCTTGCGAGCCTGGAAGTCACGGTGACCCCTGGCGACCCCTAGTGGGGCTAGGATCAAGGCTCCCTCTTGGCTGTGAAGTCTCGTGAGCAAAAAGTCTACCTTGTGAGCTACTGGCCTTAAAGTGGTGAGCGAACGATGTGGCTCCTGCATCAGTTAGTTTGCTCTGGAAAGCCCTCCTTCCTGAGCTGAGACGAAAATGTGCGAGCCGGAGGCTAAAAAACGGAGCTAACTCACACTAGTTCAGCTTAGAGGGAACACTGGCGAGGCTATTTCAGAGAGGTGGCCTGGTCGCCTGCCTCTGCGTCCCAGCCCTGGTATTCCTTGGAGGTCTCCCTTCCAAGTACTTTCCAGGGCTTCCCGGCTGAGTGAGTGTGAGCCAGCTCACAGTTCTTTAGCCTCCGGCTCACACATTTTTGTCTTAGCGCAGGAAGGGTGTCTCCAGAGCAAACTCATTGACGCAGCAGCCAAATCGCTCACTCACCCCTTTAATGCCAGTAGCTCACAAAGTAGAATTGTTGCTCACGAGACTCCGCAGCTTAGAGGGAGCCTTGCCTGAGACCCTGGAGAGCCTCTGCCAGTCTGAGTAGGCAATACTGGCTCCGATGGGCCAGAGGGCTGATTCAGTGTAAGGCAGCTTTATCTGTCTGTGTGTGTGTGAACCAGGAAAGCATCCAAGCAAGCTCTGTCCTTCCTCCTTTCCTTCCTCTCTCCTAGCTGGCCGGGCTGGCCATCTACAGATCAGAGATGTTGGCATCATGAGTTTGGTTCGTTTTTTTTCTTTTCCTTTTGCCATCCAGATTAGTAATCGGTGGAAGCTGTTGAGCCAGGCCCAGCTGCAAGCGGCAGCCAAGAAGGAGCCTACCAAGAAATCACAGCAGAAATCACAGCAGCAGCAGCAAGCAGGTGACACTGGCTTGGTTGCTCTTTGCCAGAGGTTCAACTCCCAGAGAATCTCGGGTTTTAACATACAGTGGAAGCCAGTTTCTACACACTCATGGGCTTTCTGTTTGTTAGCTTGTTTGGTGTAGTGGTTAAGTGTGCAGACTCTAATCTGGGAGAACCTGGTTTGATTCCCCACTCCTCCACTTGCACCTGCTGATGTGACCTTGGGTCAGTCACAAGCTCTGGCACAGCTGTCCTTGAGAAAGAGCAGTTTGTGTCAGAGTTCTCTCAGCCCCACCCACCACCTCACAGGGTGTCTGTTGTGGGGAGGGGAAGGGAAAGGAGTTTGTAAGCCGCTCTGAGACACCTTTGGGTAGTGAAGGGCGGGGTATAAATCCAATCTCTTCTTCTTTTTCTTCTTCTTGGAAGCCCACCCACACCGTCCTTTAAGACTTGGGATGTTTTAGTTATAAAAGCTTAAAGAAGTCATGTGCATGGTGTTATGGGGGGGGGGGATAACTGCAGCCAGAGGTGGTACGAGATATGAGATTATATGAAATGATGAAGGTTGCAGTGAGAGAAATGTTATATTATTTGCCTCTCGAAAGGCAAGAACCAGTGCTCCCTCTCAGCTGTGGAGTCTTATGAGCCAAAATTCTACTTTGTGAGCAATTGGCCTTAAAAGTTGTGAATGAGCGATTTGGCTACTGCATAAATCAGTTTGCTCTGGAGCCATCCTTCCTGAGCTAAGACAAAAATGGGTGAACCGGAGGCTAAAGAACTGTGAGCTGGCTCACACTGACTCAGCTTAGAGGGAACACTGGGAAGAACTTGGATGAAAGAATTAGAGACACTTTTATGGAGGTGAGGTCTGTCAATTAATTGATCTATCATTGACCTGTCATTGAATTTCCAGTCTATCAGTGAGTATTAGTGGCTGGAGGCAAACAACAGGGGAGGGCTCCTACCTTCATGCCTTGCATATGGACTTTTTGAATGCCTCTAAGTGACCCCTGTGAGCCAAGGGGTGCTGGACTCGATAGATCTCTGATCTGATCCAGTGAAGCTCTTATTAAGGGGGGGGGTCTAGGAGCGCGGTGCAGTGGTTAGGAGCCCGGACTCTAATCTGGGAGAGTCAGGTTTGATTCCCCACTCCTCCACATGCAGCTGCTGGTGTGACTTTGGGTCAGTCACAAGTTCTCTCAGAGCTGTTCTCTCAAGGGCAGTCCTCGGGAGAGCTCTCTCAGCCCCACCTACCTCACAGGCAATGTTCCCTCTAAGTTGTGGAGTCTTGTGAGCAAAAATTCTACTTTGTGAGCTACTGGCATTAAAGTTGTGAGCGAGCGATTTGGCTACTGCCTAAATTAGCTTGCTCTCGAGCCCTCCTTCCTGAGCGAAGCCAAAAATGTGTGAGCTGGAGGCTAAAAAACTGTGACCTGGCTCGCACTAACGCAACTTATTTATTTACTTGGGATTCACTTAGAGGGAACACTGCTCACAGAGTGTCTGTTTTATGGGGAGGGGAAGGGATTGTAAGCCGCTCTGAGACTCATCTTTGTTCCCAGCCAAAAGGACGAGCATAGCATAGTTATGAAAGTGTTGAACTTGGACCGGGGGGGGGGGGGGGGGGGGGAGGAGCTGGGTTCAGATCTCCGGTGCTTCCCGGTGTGGCCGTTTTCCTCTTGACTTGTCCCCTTTTCCTCCACAGCAACACGGGAGGCTGCCGAGAAGGAGTGCAGAGAAAAAGCCGCCAACACGGCCTCCGTGCGCCAGCTCGCCACGGTGAGTCTTTCTGCATCCTAGATCATTTGAGCGATGGAGGCGGCGGGATGTGGGGGGGGGAGTGACATCGCACGCACACTCCTTGGACTTACCTTGTTTCAGGGACTTTGCTAAATGCTGTCCGCCTGATCCTGGGCTTGCCAAGGTGAACGAATCTCTAGTAGGAAGTGTTGTTGATTTCAGCTTCATACAAAGCCCCACATGTGGTGGAATCTCTCACCTGTGGTGCCTGCAGAGCTCAGGAGAAGTGGGGGGCAGAGGGGTGAGTGCCAATAGCAAGGGCTCTCTGCCCTCCATAGATTTGGGTCTGCCATTCTGAGACGTGGGGTGTGTGTGTGATTTTGACCACCACCTTCTATAGTCCATGATTTCTGGGGTTTTTTTATTCTTCTTCCTTGGAATCGTCCGTAGCAAGAACAGGCCAGCAAAAAGAGGGAGCGAGTGGCCAGCGAGCCAGGCACAGAGACACCCAAGCAAGAGAAGAAGAAGGCCAAAGCCGCCCAGAAGCCAGAGGTGCAAGAGGCTCCCAAACCCTTCACCCCCTTTGACTACAGCAAGTCCGACCTCAAAGTCTTTGCAGGTAGGAGCCAGAACTGAATGCTGGCACTTCAATTGTGCCCCCCCAAAAAATATTAAAAAACAAAATGAATTCAGCTACACAAGTTCAGCTTTGGAACCAGGCAGATTTCTTCAGGAATGGAGTCCCAAAGTCTTGGTGCCACCACAGATAAGGCCCTGCACCTGTTTGCAGTGTAAATGATTAGCTGTGCTCACCTCCTTTCCTGTCTCTCTTCCAGGGGCCGGTAAGTCCAAGGCCTCGTCGCAGTTCGATCCCGCCAGGCAGGCCCAGGCCAACAAGGTACGGTGATGCTGTGTGAGGGAGAGGGGGTAGAGAGACCCCTGGGGTGGGGGCAGGCAGTTGCTTGGAAGGGCACTGTTTTCCCTGAATGTAGGCAGAGAACCTCTGCCAGTAGACCTTTAAAGCAAAGGCTGCATTCAGAGGTCACAGAGGAGGAGGAGGAGATTGGATCCCCCACCCCACCCTTCACTCGGGGTCTCAGAGTGGCTTACAAACTCCTTTTCCCTCCCCACAACAGACACCCTGTGGGGTAGGCGGGGCTGAGAGAGCTCTGACAGAAACTGCTCTTTTTCAAGAACAGCTCTTGTCAGAACTACGGCTTGCCCAAGTTCATCCAGCAGGTGCAAATGGAGGAGTGGGGAATCAAACCCGGTTCTCCCAGATTTGAGTCTGCGCACTTAACCACGACACCAAACTTAACAAAAACTCAACTCAACAAAACAGGAGTTTGGTAGTATCATTTGTGTCTTTCACACCCCCTACGATCTGATCTTTTTTTCACTACGCACACCCCTCTGAGTTTTCTGAGAGAAGGGGTGGATGAAAATGTATCAGATGGGTTAGTCGGGAGAGCTGTATTCCTACGAAGTGGACACTTATTTCTCTCTCTTTTTTTAAATAGAAATTTTCAGGAGCTGGCAAAGCTTCACAACCAGCTGGAACCAAAAGCATGTCCTACCTGCCTGCGAAATCCAGCCGGTAAGTTCATACAGTGCTTTTATCCGGTTGTGTGCAAATTCCAGAAAAGATTCCTAAGCCTGCTATAGAGTTAAAAAAAACCCATCTGCCCATGCATACCTGGGGCTATTGCTCATAATACATGGATGGCCAGAAGAAAGAAGAGGAATCGGGGGGTGAGCAGCCTGCTCAGCTGGAGCCAGGGAACCCTCGGCATAGGCGAGCATCACTTTGTGCATCAGGACAGCCCTGCCCAGAGTTCTTTTCCTGCCGCAGATGGGAGCAGGAACGGATGTGGGGTCTGGTGCACATCCTCAGTGCCGGATCCTTTCCCGAAGGAGGAAGTACCTCTTGTGCCTCAGCCACACACCCTGTCTGCACACGCTTATTCTCATGCTCTGTGAAGAAGAGGAAGAGATTGGATTTATACCTCGCCCTTCACTACCCGAAGGAGTCTCAGAGCGGCTCACAAACTCCTTTCCCTTCCCCTCCCCACAACAGGCACCCCGTGAGGCAGGTGGGGCTGAGAGAGCTCTGGCAGAAACTGCTCTTTTTCAAGAACAGCTCTTATCAGAGCTACGGCTTGCCCAAGGTCATCCAGCAGGTGCGAGTGGAGGAGTGGGGAATCAAGCACGGTTCTTCCAGATTAGAGTCCGCGCACTTAACCACTACACCAAACCACACTGCCCTGAGCCGCTTGGCCGGCGTCGCTTGTGGGAGGAGGGCCCCGTGCAAAGCTTTCTCAGGTGGCCCTCCTGGTGCAAGTGCTCTTGCCGATCTCCTGTCTGCTTCTGGCGTTCCACAGCATGTGATAGGATTGGGTCCCTGCAGCGATCTAAAGATGCTGGAAGCCCTCCAGCCGAGGAACTGTCTGATCCGTTTAAAACCAGTGTGTGACGTTCACTCCTGGCCCAACCAAGCTGCCTCTTAAATCCTGTAATCCTGTCTGGATTTATTTTTTTTGTTTGCTTTCACAGTTTCCCCACCCCCATGTCTGGTCACCATTCCTCCCCCCCTGCCTCTTAAATCCTGTAATCCTGTCTGGATTTATTTTTTTTGTTTGCTTTCACAGGTTCCCCCCCCCCATGTCTGGTCCCCATTCCCCCCCCCCCCCCCTGCTTTTCCTTTCCCACCTGCAGGGCATTTCCACAGTCTGCAGAATGCTCTGCACCCTTCCACCATCAGCCTGGGTTTTGCCTCCCCCCCATACCCTTGAACAACCCCACCCCCTCCAGCTTTCTAGCCTTCTGCCTGGGGTTGGAATACTCATGCTTTGCAGTACCCCATCTTCTCAGCTGGTTAGCATCAATAGTCCGGACCAGTGTTCCCTCTAAGCTGAGTTAGGGTGAGCTAGCTCAGTTTTTTAGCCTCTGGACCACACCTTTTTGTCTTAGCTCAGGAAGGATAGCTCCAGAGCAAACTAAGTTATAAGAACATAAGAGAAACCAATGTTGGATCCAACACTCTGTCACACAGTGGCCATAAATACCAGGTGCCACCAGGAGGTCCAGCAGTGGGGCCAGAAGCCCTCACACTGAACCCCCTCCCTCCAAGCACCAAGAATACAGAGCATCCCTTGCCCCAGACTGAGAGTTCCTATCTATACCCTGTGGCTAATAGCCACTGATGGACCTCTGCTCCAGATGTTTATCTAATTCCCTCTTGAAGCCGTCCATGCTTGTAGCCGCCACCACCTCCTGTGGCAGTGAATTCCATGTGTTCATCACTCTTTGGGTGAAGAAGGACTTTCTTTTATCTGTTCTGACCCGACCGCTCAGCAATTTCATTGAGTGCCCACGAGTTCTTGTATTGTGAGAAAGGGAGAAAAGTACCTCTTTCTCTACCTGCTCCATCCCACGCATAATCTTACAAACCTCGATCATCCCTCAGCCATCATTTCCCCAAGCTAAAGAGCCCCAAGCGCTTTAACCTCTCTTCATATGCAGTAGCCAAATCGCTCGCTCACAACTTTAATGCCAGTAGCTCATGGAGTAGAATTTTTGCTCACAAGACTCCACAGCTTAGAGGGAGCATTGGTCCCGACTGGCATAAACACACAACAATCTTAATTACCTTATCTGGGAGAGAGGCGCCGTCCCAGTCCCTGCACCGTGGAGGCAGCAAACATGTGAAGAATTACCCCCAAATTAACCTTTTTCGAAAATACAGATTCTCTCTTTCTCTCTCTGTTCAGGGGCTTCAGGCACAACTGGCCGAAAAGATAACACCGTTGAAGTAACCCATCTGAAGGAACCAGGAAACACACCTTTTAAACAATTGACCACCAAGGGGCCAAAAGGTCTCTTGGACTCTGTTTTGGTTTTGTATAGATACTTGGCTTTTTTTAAAAAAAAAAAGTGCACACAATTAAACTGCTGTTTCTTTCCCCAAAAGTGGGGAAGGGAAAAATCTGAACTGCTGTGGAGTTTGCTTGTTTAGTTGAGAGAGAAAAAGAAACCTTTAATGGCATAATAGTACAACAATTCAAAAAAAATTAGACACCAATAAATACATATATACACATACTAAAAGTCTCCACCGAACAGAACCCATTCGGAATTAATAAAAAGGAGATGGGAAAAAGGTAAATCTAAATATTACAGTTTCTAACCCTTAACTTCCATACACGTAATAGGTACTTAGCGACAACTGCAGTAATTTCAGGAGATTTGTCAGATAACAAAAACAACACAAAGGTCATTATCGGTCATAGATTTTGCAGAAGAAAGGAGGGGATGGATCGAGGAATGACGTAGCAAAGAGTAATGAGAGCAGCGGAAAATAACATGTTGCACAGAGTCAGGTTCACTGTAAAGACAGGTACAGACTCTTTCTTTATACAGGGGTCATTTCCTGCAGGAGCGCACAGGAGCGGAGCTCCGGCAGTAAAAAGCCCAGGGGGCGGGCACATGCAACAAGCCCCACCCCCTGATCCCAGCAGCCCCAGGCCACGAGAAGCAAGAAGCCTTCCTTCCTTCCTTCCTTCCTTCCTTCCTTCCTTCCTTCCTTCCTTCTTGCCTTCTTTCCCTTTCCCTCCTTATTTCCTCTCCTTCTTTCTTTCCTTCTCTTTTTCCCCTCCTTTCTTCCTTCCTTCCGGCACAGATTTGTGCGTTCCCCCCCCCCCCAGCTAGCAATCCAAAACAGCCCAGTGGCACCCTTAAGGCTAAGTTTTATTCAGGTACAAGCTCTCCCGCCTCTGCTATGGCAGATCTGTGCGTGTGTGTGTCCCCCCCCCCCATACCTAGCAATCCAAAATAGTCCAGTGGAGCCTGAGCAGTGGGTGTTGCCTTCTGAAACACTTCCGGTGATGTCGGGGGTGGGTGGGGTGGCATATGCAAATAAGTTATGCTAATGAGTTATGCTAATGAGCTCCTGCACCTCTTTTTCTTCGAAATGACCCCTGATAAGGAATACCCTTATATCTACCTGTCGAAACAACCGAAGGGAAGAGATTGAACCTGGCAAACATGAAATCGCTACGGTGGGAGGGGTTTACCAAATTAGAAAAGTCCTGGGGCACAGAATCTTGTGCAGGGAAAAAGACCAAGAAAACTTGGAGAACAGACTCCAGAGCCACCGGCATTAATAACTTGAGCTTCAGTGTCCCAAATCCTCCTCCTTTCGAGTTGTAAGACACTCACAGGCTGCTGTCCCCATTGAGTCGGAGCACTCTTGCCGCTAACTTTCTGGGGGATGGGTGTTTTGAGGGGGGTGTCAGAGCCCCTGTTCAAGTGGGACGCCACGTTCTATTTAAACCAGCTGGGAGGAGAAATTCCCTTTTACACAGCTGGCTCGGATCACTGGTCCTTTCCCATGTCGTCTCCCAGGTCAGCTTTCTCCGCCAAGGCGCTACATCCAGAATTAATCCCTGAGGCTATTAACGAAAAGTAGTTAATTCTTAAGCAGGGTTTTGTCTCGTTTTCGGGCTCTGCTCCGGAGCAAAGGCCAAAAGCCTATCATTGCACAGCAGGTTCCATTTGAATTTATTTATTTGTTGGAAGCTGTTAACCATAGACTGTTTTTTGCATGCCAGCTTCTTTACAACCTGTGGTGGGTTGTACTGGCAGAAGATTGGCAGCAGGAGTAGCCCGAGGCCATCCAGTGAGTCTGACGGAGGCAGAAGCCGTCTCCCGCATCCAACGTTCATTCTTCGGCTCCATAGAACTTTTCATTTCATAGAATTCAAAAACCGAGTGGGGCGATGAGGGATGCTCATTCCTGCCTCCTATAACTCTTTCAACGTATTCGCTGATTACTGTAATTAAAGGCGGGGGGGAATCAATTGTGGCTCCAGGAAGCGTTTGATGTTGGTGGCTGACGCCAGCTGACAGGCAAACGGCAAACCAGTGCCCAGTTAAGCCATGCAGGAATTACACCCCCAATCTACCCCTGTTGGTTTCCTTCTACGAGACTTGGGTGGGAGTCCATTTGAACTCTGTTTCCACTACTAGACTTCCCCTCTTCTCTAACCCTTGTGCAACACTGTATGAACCCCTGGAGTGCCTCTGAGCATGTCCAGAGTTCCATTTCCTCTGTTGCTGGCTGAACAGCAGTCCCCACCAGTGTTCCTTCTAAGCTGTTAGTGTGAGGTAGCTCACAGTTTTTTAGCCTCTAGCTCACAGATTTTTGTCTTAGCTCAGAAAGGAGGGCTCCAGAGCAAACTGTTTTATGCTTTAGCCAAATCGGCTCACTCACAACTTTAATGTCAGTAGCTCACAAAGTAGAATCTTTGCTCACAAGACTCCACAAGCTTAGAGGGAGCATTGGTCCCACTTGACAAACATTGGAAACAGCGTCTGGATTTCTGTGTACTTTGAGAAGTTGGCATTTCTCGCTCTGCGGTTTTCAGCACAGGATTTAACGGTATTTAGGGGGACGTTTGGCACTGAGAAGATAAGGCGGGACTGTTGCCAACGCCAGAGGAACCGAAGGATTTAAATGTGTTATCGGTATGGATTTGTGCCTCCTCCCCCACCCCACCCTCGAAACTTAAATCATGCTTCAGTTAAAAGATCTAGCAGTGCCCAGCCTGCATTATCTTCCTAAGTGCAGCAGCTGCAACCAGCATTCAAACTCAGTGGTAAAGTTTCTGCTTGGCACACAGACGGTGCCAGGTTCAATCCCTGGCATTTCCAGTTAAAGGATCAAGTAGGAGATGCAAGAGTGGTTTCTGTGTTTGAGAAAAACCAAACAAAAGGGGGGGGGGACAACCCAAAATATAGCTATGATCTAAGAGGGTCAAGTTAACAAACATAAAAATCCAAATATTTACTACCTTTGATGGATGTGACACACATCATGACACATGGGATATTCGTTACCAGAATAATTTGGAGAATTTGTGCAGTTACTATCCAGGGCCCATTTTACAAACACTTAGCCACTGCAAAGCATGTGAGAAAGTTATACAATAGGAATATTGACCACTGAGGAAGGCCGTAAGGGGCCGAAACGCGTATGGTCTATTGGTCAAAAGTTTTACCCATCAATCGGACATGTATAACTAGCTACTCTGAATGTAATAAGCTTTAAGAGTCTGATATTTGGACTATTTTTTTAATCTTACGTATGTTTGATTTCTGTGTTCGAGACCCCGGAGAGCCACTGCCAGTCTGAATAGACAATACCGACCTCAACAGACCCGAGGGTCTGACAGCGTAGAAGCCAAACTCACATCTTTATATTCCTAGGTGGGTCCCCTCTTTTCGGTGGGGAAAGAGGAAGACGGTCTAGATGGACGGTTGGTCTGATCCCGGAGGGGCTTGTCTGAGGTTCTTGTCTTTGCCCCCAAATCATCTTCTTACCTGCTTAAACTGGTGGCCACCAAGGGCAGGGTGGATGAGGAACGGAAACTTCTGTGACGTGGAACTGGCAGCCCTGGAGAGCAGAAATGTTGGTTTCTTTATATTGCTTACGTCCTTTATAGTCGGGCTCACGGGGTCAAGACAATCGACAGGATGGGACACTCAGAAAACAATACGGTAGGATTAGGGCAGTGGAACCAACCAGAAATCTAAAGAACAGAACTCTGAAGCAAAGCACAGTAGTATAGAGCACAGTGCCTAACAATTTGTCCAAGAAACTTGGCGAACCATTTTGTACAGCGCTATCCTATTGCCCGTGTAGAAAGGCCCTCTTGAATAATTCAGTTTTGCGTGGTTTGCAGAAAGCCAGGGGAATGAGAGCCTTCCTGACTTCTGAATCCCAGAGCCAGGAGGCAACATCAGGGGAAGGCCTTGGCCTCTACGCCCTGTTGTTGATTTTGCCCATTTGCAAACTGGCACCTCTAGCAGCAGTCCTATCAGGCCGGTAGCTACAGTGGAGCTTTAAAGGTGTGTGCTCTTTTAAGCAGAGTGGGGTGCTGTAGTTGACTATTTCCTGAGCGGGGGGGGGGGGGTTGGAGTAGGTGACCTCTAGGATACCTTCTAATTCTGTCAAGAAACTGGTCTCTTTGAAAATAAATTTCCTGCCTAAGTGTTAACTTTCTTGACTATAGAAGTCATCACCCCCACCTGCCGGCTTGTTATCAGAATTGTTGATTATGCTGCCAGAAGTGATTAACTTGCAGCAGCTGAGAACTGTCATCTAAAGTGGTTGATAGCTTGCAATTTAGCGATCTATCCTGATAAGAAGAGGAGGAGATTGGATTTATACAGTGCTATCCTATTGCCCGTGTAGAAAGGCCCTCTTGAATAATTCAGTTTTGCGTGGTTTGCAGAAAGCCCTTCACTCAGAGTGGTTTACAATCCCTTTCCCTCCCCACAACAGACACCCTGTGAGGTAGGTGGGGCTGAGAGAGCTCTTTTCAGAACTGTCCTTGAGAGAACAACCCTGACAGAACTATGGCTTGCCCAAGGTCATCCAGCAGCTACAAGTGGAGGAGTGGGGAATCAAACCCGGTTCTCCCAGATTAGAGTCTGTGCTACTTAACCACTATACCAAACTGGCTTTATATTGGCTAAATGGCTAAGAACACCTATGTAGAGTAGATGGCTTGAGAAGACTCAGAGAGAAGAGACTGCCTCGAAGCTCTCTTCAACTTCTACCCTGCTGCTATGCTTCTAGAGACTCTGCTCATCAGGAACGTCAGTTGAGATGCCAGAGCTACATGCCTGAAAGGAAAAGCAGTGAGCAAAATAATAGCCAGCTACGTGTTTTGCTTTGATTTTAAAAGGCTTGATTCCACAGTAGCTGAGTCATAATCCTCAGAATCCTGGCTTTTCTTTCTGCACTGAGAACTTCAACCCCACCAGAAAAAAACAATTTCCCCACAATCCACAAAATCCTGGCTATGGGCCTGACTCCTATCTGTTTTTGCCTGTGAACTGCCGTCTCTTGCAAGTGAAAGGAAGCTCTCTGTATCTGATCTGGCAGGCATCTTAAAGCTGTGCCACGTTCTATTGAGTCCTTAGCAGGCCGCAGTCAATCACAGAAATAATTAAGCTGGATCAAAAGCCATACAAGCGAATGACAAGACAGAGGCTTAAAATTATTTCATTAAAATGGTTTACGTCAGTGTGTTCTTTCAAGATGGGCAGTGTTGATAGTTCTGAGAAGTTTATAGGGTTTGTTCCAAGTGTCCCCATGGGGGGCATCTGTCCCCAGTAAATTGGGTCTCATGGCATATTAAAAATTTAACTAATTTTTATTATAATATAAATCTTAGTGATTAGAGAACCTGTTGTCCAGTGTGTGGTGGATCTTCAGAGGGCAGATAATCAATATGCAGTTCTGGGAGCAGGGAGGTAAACAGCTGGGCACCAAAGTCATGAAATGAAAGAAGTGTGGGCGGTGAAATTATTGTGTAAAATTCAAGTGTCAGCCAGAAAACAGCACAGTCTCTCTACAGGAGCAGTAAGCAGAGAGAACAGCTTCCCCACCTTCAGGAGAGTATTTAGGGCAGTAGTTATAAAAGGGGTGGGGGGCTGAAGCCCAAAGTGGTTCTAACTCTGTCGCAAATAGGTTGCAAAAAGAGTTGGTTTTATACCCTGCCCTTCACTACCCGAAGGAGTCTCAAAGCGGCCTTCAATCACCTTCCCTTCCTCTCCCCACAACAGACACCCTGTGAGGTAGGTGGGGCTGAGAGAGCTGTGACTGATCCAAAATCACCCAGCTGGCTGCATGTGGAAGAGTGGGGAATCAAACCCGGCTCTCCAGATTAGAGCCTTGCCGTTCTTAACCACTACACCTCAGGCCAAAAGGAACAAGAAAAGATAGCTGGGTGGTACAGACTGGTTTGTTTTTGTATGATTTGCAAACTGGATGTGAACAACAGCCTATCGCTCAAAGGGCTGCCAACGTCCAGGTGGGGCCTGGAGATAATAGCAACTTTGGAGGATAGAAGGATAGATTCTTCCCCAAGCCCCACCCTCCTCAGCCCCCACCCCCAAAATCTCCAGGAACTTCCCAGTCTGAGCTTGACTACTGTGATGGTATTTATAAATGCAGACCATGAAAAGTAAATTATCAAGCTGTTCAGTGTTAATCACCGTGAGAGTCATGCATTTGCGGGGGGGGGGGGCAGAAAGGATATCTCCTCAGCAGGTGAGTCTAGATGTTCTCAGGAGGTCCCTGAGGGGTGTTAGCCAGTTATTAGGGTGCTTTCCCTTGGTCTATAGGAGTTCCCCAGTAAGGAGACAGCCTCCCCTTTCCTTAAACAATTGAATGAAGAGTCCCCCAGAATAGGAGAAGTTTAGAAGGGGGATGCACTTCTAAAAGTTTGCTTTTAAGCTGCCCCAAGAAGACACTAGAACCTTCTTTCCTCCAAACCCTCTGCGAGGGGCTTCTCTTGTTCTAAAATGACACAGGTTGCTGAAAGCTTTTATTTTTAATGCTACATTTTCTCCTTCCGGCGAGGACGAGAAGACAGCGGAGACAGAGAGAAAAAAATGCCTGGCGTGTCCACGGTCCCGAGCAGTGTTCCCTCTAAACTGAGTTCGTGTGAGCGAGCTCGCAGTTTTTTTAGCCTCCGGCTCACACCTTTTTGTCTCCGCTCAGGAAGGAGGGCTCCAGAGCAAACTGGTTCGTGCGGCAGCCCAATCGCTGGCACACACAACTTTAATGCCGGTAGCTCACAAAGTAGAGTTTTTGCTCACAAGACTCCGCAGCTTAGCGGGAGCATTGTCCCGAGTCTGCTGGGAAAAGGATGACTGCATGCTGCATCCGCGCCTGGCACGCCGGGAGACTCCGTCCTGCCAGCGCCTGACCAGACCAGCAACACGTCTTCCAGCATCAGCTTCAAGGAGGCGCCCAAACGGGACTGCCCGACGGCGCTTCCCCCGTTGAACTGCCTGCCTGCCTGCCTGCCAAGTGGCACCACGTGGAAGGGCCTATCCGGCTCCTGCCCGCCCGCCCCCTCCGGCCAGCCAATCCCGGCCGCGCACCGACCTGCCCAGCCACGGAGGCGCGCGCGCCCCGCACGCCCGGCCCAGCCACCCCCACGTGGCCACCCAGGCAAGCCCATCGCGCAGCCGAACCTGCTGCCGCCGCCAGCCCCGCTCCCTATTGGCCGCCTCCCTCCGAGGGGCGGGCACGCCGGAGGTAGGCGCCTATAGAACCGCCCTGGGAGGAAAACGGGCCCGCCCCCGGTCCCCTTCCCCCGCAGCGGGGTGCGTTGAGGCGCGCACAGGTGGCAGGTGCGGCGGCGGAGGCGGCGGCTGCGCGAGGGAGCGGCGCTCGCCCTTGCCGCCGGAGGGAGGGAGGGAGGGAGGCCGGCGGCCCGCCTGATGGAGCCCGCGGAGGCCGGCCGGGCAGGCGGCCCCGGCGGCGGGGAAGCGGCCCCGGGCCCAGCCGGCATCCGCGAGGGCTGGTTCCGCGAGACCTGCAGCCTCTGGCCCGGCCAGGCCCTCTCCTTGCAAGTGGACCAAGTCCTGCACCACCGGCGCTCGCCCTTCCAGGAGATCCTCGTCTTCAGGAGGTGGGCGCGGCGGCGGCGGGGAGGGGAGGGGGCGTTGGCATGCGGGGCAGGGGCGCGACCCCCCTGGGCGCGGCGCCCTGCTCTTCTGCGCTCAGCCTTGGCATTTGCTGCTCCGGCTGGCCGCGGCTTTCCCGGGGGCGGGGGGCTCAGGCGGAGAAAAGCCCGGGGTCTTGAAAGCGGGGGTGCCCCAGCTCGAACCTGCGGCAGTCTCTAAGCAGCGGCTGGACCAGCACTGGTCAACACTGATGCTCTAGGCTGGTCCTGCATGGAGCAGGTTTTTGGACTAGATGGCCTGTGTGGCCCAACTCTGTGATTCTGGAATCAGCTGCCCGGGGGAGGCGGTGAGTGCCTCCTCCCTGGCAGCCTTTAAGCAGCGGCTGGACGAACACTGGTCAGGGATGCTCCAGGCTGATCCTGCATGGAGCAGGGGGTTGGACTGGACGACCTCTAGGGACCCTTTCAACTGGCTGATTCTTTCTGGCTGCTGAGCTGCGGCCCTGCAAAATACTGGTGGGGTTGCAGTCTGACGGATGGAGTGGCCTGACACGGAATTGGGTCATCTAGTTTAGCATCGGTTCCCCTGACTGGCACCAACTCTCAAGCAGAGCGAGGCTGTCCCTAGACTCGGGATCCTTCACCCAGGAGGTGGTGGAGACTGACCCGTGGGGCAGAGCCGTGGCTCAGTGGCAGAGCATCTGCTTGGCGTGCAGAAGGCCCCAGGTTCAGTCCTTGGGATCCCCAGCTCAAAGGGTCAGGTGCTCTGAAAGGCCTCAGCCGGAGACCCTGGAGAGCTGCTGCCAGTCTGGGTAGATGGTACGCACCTGTGGTCTGATTCCACGCAAGATAGCATCATGTGAGCAAAGTAGGTGCTTGAGCCTGGAGCCCCCACCTGCCCCCCCCGTCATCCCAATATGAGCAAGTGAACATCTGGAGCTACCTTGCTCAGTATTGCCAGCTCTGACTGGTAGCAGCTGTCCAAGCACTTGGTCACCTAAACTCCTTCCAGGGGGAAGGTGCTGCGGACTGAGCCCGGGCCCTTCAGGATGCAAGACTAGTCTAGTGCCTGTTTTTAAACCCGACTCTCTGCTGTCCTGGCCACTGCCTAGAGTTCCCTTCCTGCATCCCTCGTGCTTCTTGCGGGGAGGAGAGTCCGCAGGTTAAATGTCGCTTTTGCCGTCAGTTCAGCAGCATGTATCTCCTGCAGGAGGAGCAGTGGTCTCCAGCCTGGTGAAAATGGATCTGCTGTTATCCCTCTTGAGCCAGTTTGGTGTTGTGGTTAAGTGCGCAGGCTCTAATCTGGGAGAACCGGGTTTGATTCCCCACTCCTCCACTTGCACCTGGCTGTATGACCTTGGGCAAGCCGTAGTTCTGGTCAGAGCTGTTCTCTCAAAGGCAGTCCTGGAAAGAGCTTTCTCAGCCCCATCTACCTCACAGGGTGTCTGTTGTGGGGAGGGGAAGGGAAAGGAGTTTGTAAGTCGCTCTGAGACTCCCGAGTGAAGGGCGGGGTATAAATCCAATCTCTTTTTCTTGTCCCCATCTCCTCCGCCGCCGCCTTCACTTCCTCCTCCTGTCCCAAGCAAAAGGGAATGTGTGCACTGTTCGGCCATTGTAAACGGGGTCTCTGCCCCAAGGAACTCGCCATCCCGAAGGAGGAGGTGAAAGGTCTCAGAAAGTTCTGTCCACAAATGCAGTTTGGTGTGTTGAGGCTTTAATCGGGGGAGGTCTGTTTTTAAGGGTTTTGAGGGGGGTTCCTTTTGGGGGAGGGATGTCCTGCTCCCTTCATCTCTGTCCCTTCTGCGCCTTGCAGCAAAACGTACGGGAATGTCTTAGTCCTTGATGGTGTGATCCAGTGCACGGAGAGAGATGAGTTTTCGTACCAAGAAATGATCGCCAACCTGCCTTTGTGTAGCCATCGAAATCCACGCAAGGTGAGTCTTGGGCGCTGCCTCGTAAGATGAGCTCTGCGGGACTGGAGCGAAGGTCTGTCTGTTCCAGCATCCTGTTTCCCTCCATCACCATCCAGGTGCCCAGGGAGAGACGCAAGCACAACAGTGGGATGTGGACGCCTTGTTGGCCACAGCAGAAAGTTCTGAATCAGAATTGTGTGGTTAAGAACACAAGCTCTGCTGGATCAGAGTGATGGTCCTTCTAGTCCAGCATCCTGTCTCACACAGTGGCCAACCCGTTCCTCTGGACAGCCAACAAACGGGGTATAGAGGCAGAGGCCTTCCCCCTGGTGTTGCCTCCTGGCTCTGGGATTCAGAGACTTAGTGCCTCTGAACATGGAGGTTCCCTTTAGTCACCATGGCTAGAAACCGCTGATAGACCTCTTCTCCATGAATCTGTCCAGTCCCCTTGTAAAGCCAACTATGTCTGTGGCCATCACTATATCCTCTGGCAGCGAATGCCACATTTTAATCGCTGCCTGTGTAAAGAAGTATTTTGTTATATCCGTCCTGAATTGAATCCCCTTCATCTTCATTGAATGCCCTCAAGTTCTAGTATTTTGGGAGAGGGAGAGAAAGTTCTCTTTGTCAGGTTCTGGATCGGAAGGAAAGGTAAGTGCAAAGCAGACTTCATTACATGCAAATCTTGTACTGCCGTAACCAAGGCTCCCTCTAAGCTGTGGAGTCTTGTGAGCAAATATTCTGCTTTGTGAGCTGCTGGCCTTAAAGTTGTGGGTGAGTGATTTGGCTGCCGCATAGATTTAGTTTGCTCTGGAGCCCTCCTTCCTTCCTGAGCTAAGGCAAAAAATGTGTGACCCGGAGGCTAAAAAACTCTGATCTAGCTCACGCTAACTCAGCTTAGAGGGAACACTGGCCGTAACCCTGTTGTGGTCTTCCTCGTTGTCTGATACTGTAACAGAACACACCATCGTTCAGTGTTCAGTGATGCATCGTACCCTGTGCATGTCCGAAGTCATTTTCCTGGCTGCAGAATTCCGTAGCTTTTATGAACTGGGTGCCTGGGTTGGCTGTAGTTATGCCCTGGGAAGAAGGTTGCGCTCAGGAGTGTATGCGCGCGCATGACGAGGGGGCACAAATGTGCTGCAGCACTTGTTAATGTTTCTTCTGCTTGCAGCCCCATCGACGCCCCAGCTGTCCTTTTGCTCCTTGGGGAAAGCTTGGTGGGGGTGGCGCACTCTGCACACACACCCTCCCCCCAGCGAGGATGCTTCATTCTCTTCTTGCAGGTGCTCATAATTGGGGGCGGCGATGGGGGCGTCCTCCGCGAAGTGGTGAAGCATCCGTCCGTGGAGTCCGTGATACAGTGTGAAATCGACGAGGTAGGTCTTGACGATCGATCGGGACGCCCAGACTGGGGGCACCCCCGTCTGTCTCTCTTTCCCCCCCTCTCTGGATTCAACTTGGAAGTATACTCCTATCCCTACCAAGGAGGCGCTGCATCTTCTCCATCAACTGGCAGAGCAAAGTCAGTGATCTCTCTAAGCTGTGGGGTCTTGTGAGCAAAAATTCTACTTTGTGAGCTGCTGGCATTGAAGTTGTGAGCGAGCGATTGGGCCCCTGCATCAATCAGTTTGCTCTGGAGCCTCCTCCCTGAGCTAAGACAAACGTGTGAGCCGGAGGCTAAAAAACTGTGAGCCAGCTCGCACTAACTCAGCTTAGAGGGAACACTGGTGGCTATTCTCTTTACAGCTCTAGAGTCGCCCTGATCTTTTCTTTCCCCTCTTGCTTTTCCTTTTGTCCCGCCAGGGGTGGGGTCTTTTGCTGTATGAGGCTGAGATTCTCGTGCACCAGTCAGATAGACTTTTCCGGGAGAGCCCCGCACATGCAACTGGGGAGAGGGGTTTTGAGTCCAGTGACACGTGAGGTCTCCCCATCTTAATGGGCTTAGAGTTGTCATGGCATCCCTTATGGTGGGGATTCTTCCTGAGGCTTTCCCACCCTGTTTGGGAACCTCCTCTGTAACAGACAGGTCTCCTGAATGTACCTCACTGGGGCTGCATCCGGGAATGTCCTTGGGATAGCGTCGCTGCCTGCATCTCGTCTGGGGTCAGGTTCTCTCCAACCAGATGCATGGAGCGGCGTGCACCCCGCCTCTCTTGTAACCACACCGTTTTGGAAATCCCCACCTTTTTCATGTTTCTTTCATATAAGCTGATTCTGTACTCTTGACCAAAGTTAACAAGGTGACTTGAAATGTTTTTTTTTTTAATAAAAACCAAAAGAAACTTGAAGAATACGATTGGTAGCAAAAATGTTCAAGGGGATAATGGTAAAATATCTCAGCATAAAAACAAATCCTGGCAGTAAAACAGGAAGTCAAAGGTTAAATGGTTGTGAACAATGCTCCCTCTAAGCTGTGGAGTCTTGTGACCAAAAATTCTACTTTGTGAGCTTCCGGCATTAAAGTTGTGAGCGAGTGATTTTGCTACTGCATGAATTAGCTTGCTCTGGAGCCCTTCTTCCTGACCTAGGACAAAAATGTGTGAGCCGGAAGCTAAAAAACTGTGAGCTGGCTCACACGAACTCAGCTTCGAGGGAACCTCGTTTTAGAGGTTGCGTAAAGTATTTTGTTTAGATTTTTTCCATATCTAGCTGGATGTCTTTGTGCATTACGATGCAGGGTTTTTTTCCCCTCTCCTGTTTTGAGTCATTAGACTTGAAAAGCAAAAATCAGAGTGATTCGAAACCAAATCTTGGCAGGATGCGATAGTGTAGCTTTGTGATTGATTGATTGATTGATTGATTTGGAGCCAGGATGTGTCCGTCAGCAAATGCCCAGGGAGAGTGAGAACACTTCTGCCCAGGTACCTAGAACTCCACAGTCTTGGCGCCTTATGTGTGCTTTTGGGGAAGGAATTGTCCTGGCACGACTGTCCCACAGAACAAGCCTCATAGCATGATAGTTTGCAAAGGGGACTTGGCTTGGGTGGAGGAGGAAGTGAAGACGATTTCTGTGTGCTCCCAGGGCAAGGTGTGAGGCTTCCACTTGGCACTAGACGTTGTTCAGCAAAGATGTTTCCAGTAAGACGTCAAGGCTCCAGGGCAGGGATGGGTCGATGATGGATTTCCCCATCAAAGGCCTCTGGAACATACGGGAATTCACCAGAATTCACCCTGCCGGCACCCTAACGAATAGGGAACAGGCTGTGGAAGGCGTGGTCAGTTCTCTAGCAAAGCTTCACCGGCAGTTTCAGTCACCCTTGGTCCAGAGAGTACGAATCCAGCAGCAATGTAGCTGAGACAAACTTGTGCAATTTTGAGCATGTTCAGGGCTGTCAGAGAAAGAGCATTAATGTCCTTGTTTCCCCAACCACATTGTAGACAGGATGTTAATTAAAAAATTTATTGGCTTTTTCCTGAAAGGTCTTCAAAGCGGAGCGGTGAGCTTAGCTCCGAGAATCCTTTAATTTACGCAACACGTTTGCAACATGTTTTAAAGAGCAGAGGAGAACTTCCCATTTTAAAAAAAAAATAGACATGATCCATTGTACATCCCTGCACCCTCTAAGCTGGGGAGTCTTGTGAGCAGAAATTCTACCGGCATTAAAGTTGTGAGTGAGAGATTTGGCGACTGCGTAAATGAGTTTGCTCTGGAGCCATGCTTCCTGAGCTGAGAAAAAAAATGTGTGAGCCAGAGGCTGAAAAACTGTGAGCTAGCTCACACTAACACAGCTTAGAGGGAACGCTGACTCCCCACCGGTGTGATACAGGCCTGCTTGTGCCTTTACTGACCTGTGTTGCTTTCCGAATTCTTGGCCCTGGCTGCATTGCAGGATGTGATAGAGGCATCCAAGAAATACCTCCCGGGCATGGCGGTGGGATACTCCAGCCCAAAACTCACCCTGCACGTTGGGGATGGCTTTGAGTTCATGAAACGCAACCAAGAGGCATTTGACGTGATCATCACGGACTCCTCCGACCCCATGGGTGAGTGCCTGAGTGTCCGTACATCTTTATAGGTAACCCCGCAGTGGTAACTGGACTTCTTCTAACGTCTCTGTGATTCAGCATGCAAAATAAATCCTGTGCCCTTTTCTCAGAACTCTGATCTTTTAGGGCTTGGGGCATGCAAGGGTCTCTTGGGCGGCTAATGTTCACACTCCCCAAAAGGGAATTTTGAGATCCTCCTCCTAAAGTTTGGTGTAGTGGCTAAGAGTGCGGACTCTAATCTGGGAGAATGGGGTTTGATTCCCCACTCCTTCACACGCAACTGCTAGTGTGACCTTGGGTCAGTCACAAGTTCTTTCAGAGCTGTTCTCTCAAGGGCAGTTCTCGAGAGAGCTCTCTCAGCCCCATCTACCTCACAGGGTGTCTGTTGTGGGGAAGGGAAAGGAAAGCTGCTCTGAGACTCCTTTGGGTAGTGAAGGGCGGGGTATAAACCCAATCTCTTATTCCTCTTCCTCCCCCTCCTCTTCCTCCTCCTCCTGCTCTTCCTCCTCCTCCTCCTGCTCTTCTTCTTCTTCCAATGTCTCCCGATTATGTCATTTTTTAATATTTAACTTTTGTTTTATAAAAGGTTGATAAGGGGTACAGAAAGAAAAAAAGGGAATATTTAGAATTTTCGAGGACAGTGCAATCTTCTTACGTCTTCATATAGTATATGTATTACAATCATCTTAAACATTCATATAATATATAATATGTAAGTCAAATATCTGCATTAGCATCAACAGAGACAGTAGAGGAATCCTTAAACTGTTTGACCACCTAAGTATCTCTTGGATATGTCCCAATGGTTTTGAACCTCCGTGTGTCTCTCTTTCCAGGTCCTGCAGAGAGCTTATTCAAAGAATCGTACTACCAGCTGATGAAGACAGCTCTAAGGGAAGACGGCATTCTTTGCTGCCAAGGTGAGGCCTGGCCCAGGTGGAACCAGCTAGTCGGTCCCAGGGTGGCTCCAGTTTCCAGGCAAAGCATCAACTCTGACCCTCCAGGTCGACAGTCTTGAAAGACTGGCACTGAGCATCTCCGTTTCTTATCACTGAGAGCCAGTGTGGTAGTGGTTAGTGTGCCAGACCAGGAACTAGGAGACCCATGTTCCAATCCCACTCCACCGTGGAAGCTTGCTGGGTGGTCTTGGGCCAGTCACACACTCCCAGCCTAATCTACCTTACAGGGCTGTTGGGAGGATAAAAATGGAGAACAACATAAGCCTCTTTGGGCCCTCACGGGGGACAAAGGTGGGGTATAAATGAAGTCAATAAAAATAATAGAAGAGCAGAGAAGAGATTGGATTTCCCTCCCGCCCTTCACTCGGAGTCTCAGAGCGGCTTACAAACTCCTTTCCCTTCCCCTCCCCACGACAGACACCCTGTGAGGTAGGCGGGGCTGAGAGAGCTCTTTCGAGGACTGCTCTTGAGAGAACAGCTCTGACAGGACGATGGCTTGCCCAAAGTCATCCAGCAGCTGCGAGTGGAGGAGCGGGGGAATCAAACCCGGTTCTCCCAGATTAGAGTCCACACTCTTCACTACTACACCAAGTAGTTACAGCCCTCTTTCTCTCTCGGCCAGGAGAATGTCAGTGGCTGCACCTCGACCTCATTAAGGAGATGCGCCAGTTCTGCAAGTCGCTGTTCCCCGTGGTGGAGTATGCCTATTGCACCATCCCAACGTACCCAAGCGGCCAGATCGGCTTCATGCTCTGCAGCAAGGACCCGGTAAGGCCTGGGCAGCTGACGCTCATGGCTGGGCAAGGCCAATGTGGTTGGGGCCCATGGGTATCTCTGTGCTTACAGGGGGAGGTGCAGTTTAGCGTGGGGAGAAACGGCTGAGCTTGCAGGGGTGGGGAGCAAGCTTCTCTTCCAAAGGGTTTGATTCGGGGGGTTGCAGATTGTTTGGGGGGGGATGCACAGCGAATCATGTCCTTTACTTGCAAGCAATGCTCCCTCTAAGCTGTGGAGTCTTGTGAGCAAAGATTCTACTTTGTGAGCCACTGGCATTAAAGTTGTTTTCTCCTGCATCAATCAGTTTGCTCCGGAGCCATCCCTTCCTGAGCTAAGACAAAAACGTGTGAGCCCGTGGCTAAAAAACTGTGAGCTAGCTCGCACTCACTCAGCTTAGAGGGAGCACTGCTTGCAAGTAGTGTATCCAAGATGCAAAATAGGTGAGGTCTGGGAAGGGTCCGTGGCTCAGCGGAAGAGCTGGTTTGCATGCAGAGGGTCCCAGGTTCAATCCCCAGCAACTCCAGTTTAAAAAGAAAGCGCCAGGCAAGAGGGGAGGTGGGTGAGCTCTGCCTGAGACCCCGGAGAGCCGCTGTCATTCTTAGTACACAATAAAGACCTCGAGGGTCTCCTTCAAGTAGAAAGCAGTAGAAAAGAGCAAGAGCCCAGTAGCACCTTAGAGACTAACAAAATATGTGGCCGGGTAGGAGCTTTTGCCAGTCACTGCTCACTTCTTCTTTTTGATGAGAACACAGGAGAAGACAATGTTGGATCAGGCCAATGGCCCCTCCAGTCCAACACTCAGTGTCACACAGCGGCCAAAAACACCAGGTGCTCTCAGGAGGTCCAGCAGTGGGGCCAGAACTCCAGAAGCCCTCCCACTGTTGCCCCCACCCCCCAAGCACCAAGAATACGGAGCATCCCTCGCCCCAGACTGAGAGCTCCTATCTATACCTTGCGGCTAATAGCCACTGATGGACCTCTGCTCCATATACTTATCTAATTTCCTCTTATAAGAACCTAAGAGAAGCCAATGTTGGATCAGGCCAATGGCCCCTCCAGTCCAACACTCAGTGTCACACAGTGGCCAAAAATACCAGGTGCCATCAGGAGGTCCAGCAGTGGGGCCAGGACACTAGAAGCCCCCCCACCGTTGCCCCGCCCCCCCCCGAAGCACCAAGAAGACAGAGCATCACTTGTCCCAGACTGAGAGTTCCTCTCTATACCTTGTGGCTAATAGCCACTGATGGACCTCTGCTCCAGTTGTTTATCTATGTAGAACTGTCTCAGTAGAAAGCAGCCTTGTGTGTGTGTGTGTTTCTGAGGTCACCCTCTTTCCGCAAGTCATCGTCTCTCACAGAGCCATTGAGTTTTGCTCAACTTCAGGCAGATGCTGATTGGGACGGGTTGCCGGAGGGGTCGGGGCCCCATGGAACCAGTTCCACGTGGTCTAAACCAGGACAGATTCTCTCCCAAGAAGGGAGTTGTCTGAGCCTCCCGGAGGTGCAGAAGGATTTAACTGAACGCCGTTGTGCCAGGGTGTCGATCATACTGCATGGGGCCCCTTCAGAAGCCCTGGATGCTCAAGTCACCCAGTGTGGAGTGTGTTGTAATCTCTTGCGCATTACAGAGGGCCTGATGGGGAATTTCCTGCTTCGTTCCCGCAGAGCACGAATTTCAGGGAGCCTGTGCAGCGGCTGTCCCCGGAGCAAGTGGACGCGATGGGCCTTAAGTATTACAACTCAGACATCCACCGGGCAGCCTTTGTCCTACCAGAATTTGCACGGAAGGTAGCGTGGCTTATTAAATGACCGTTTGTTGACCTGAGGTGAGATGCAGAAAGCCTGCACGGTTCTTCTCTTAGAGGGCCGACCTGCAGCATCTTGCCTGTTCGGAATTTGATGCTGAGTGTTTGGGTGATGCTGCCCTCTCCTCAGCCTGCATGACGCAGCCTGCAGAGTTGCCTGCCACAGCACAAGGAACCCTTGAGCTCCACACTGGTATTTCTCCTTACCCCCATCCCAAGAAGGAATTCTTAAAACCACGTTGTAGCAACCTGGGGTCCTCTCCAGAACCCACGGCTGCTGTTACAAGGGACACAAAGCACAGAAATTCACTAAGAGGTATCTGCCACCACGTTACTATTGGGGTTCTCTCCTAGCCATGGAGCAAAGTAACGGAAATCTCCAGGCTAAACACAGAACACCATTCACAAGAACAAGCTATGCTGTCTCCACACCACAGCTTGAACAAAACACAAACACAGTTGGTAGTTAGCCAGACCAAGCAGTCTGAGACACAGGATTAAGGCTTTGAAAACTCTTGAGGCTCAGTAACTCAGGCAAGGTAAAAATATAATTTCTTTATTTAAATAAATTGTGCAAAGTTAATAAAACACGAGACAAAGGTAGTGCAGGACAAAATAACAAATCTAAGCATAACCAGCCTAGCTATATTTACAAGCAGCAAGCAAACAGGTTTTACCCATCATAAGTTTCAAAGAGGCAAATAGTCCATAGACCCAAAGTATCCACTCAGCATCTTCCCTCAAGATGGTAAGTCCAAGTATTCAGGCATTATGGCGGGTTGCTTGGAGTATTGACCAGACTTAGCCAAAATACCCCAAGAATCCACACCGGTTACTGAGAACACAGAGTCTTATAGAAAAGGGGGGTCACGAGGGGCTCTGGCCGGGTAGCCACTCACAAACCCACCAAAGTGATGTCACAGCTACTGGTAACCAGGGTAACAAAGGATATCCCATAATACTTGTTGTTCAGTTCTGGGGAATCGAAAGTTATTTCTAGAAGATAAACCGACTCCCGACTCCCATCACAGGTGCAAATAGTTGGAATGTTGCTAATGAATTAATGACCACCAAGGCCACACTGCTAAGGGTTTGCAGCTGGTACTGCCATGGGAGTGAAAGTCATAATTCTCCCGTTATCAGGGTCATACAGGTCTTAAAGGGAACTAAGAGGCACCAAGAGACTAGCAGGCGCCTCTGAGACCTTAAGATTTACTGCAGCATAGTTAGATAGCACATTCCAGGCCTTCACAGACCCAGAATCCTCTTTGACAAAGTTTGGTCAAGTGAGCTGCAAGCAGACAAAAGAAATAGAGGCTATTTTGCATTACACACGTCTCTCTCATGTGAGAGTATCAGGGCAGATCTAAGTTTCATCCTTCATATATGTGCTGTACAGATCCACACTCTGGATCGTTCCAGATTAGATTACTGCAATGGGCCCTGCGTGGGGCTGCCCTTGAGGACTATTCAGAAACAATAGTTGGTCAAAAATTGCTGGAGACGGGTGCAAGCAAATGTATATTTCTGGTGTTTAAGGGGTTGTTCTGGCTCTTGTATTTAAAGCCCTGCGTGATCTGGGACTGAATTTGAAAGGGCCGTCTGCTCCCCCTTGAGCCTCCTTGATTGTTGAAATCCTTTTCTGAGTACTCCTTGCACTGCCGACATAAGATTGATGACCCCAAAGGGCAGAGCCTTTTCTGTTGTGGCTCCTTCTGTTGGACGTCCGCCCTTCTCCCTCTGCCTGACGTGAAACATCCTGATTGGGTGCGGGAGACGCCAGTCAACGGCTCGGCAGTGCTCTGAGGCATTGACTTACATTGTTGGTGGTCTTCCATTGCTGACTTTGTTTTCGACTTACTATAAAGGACCCAATCTGAGTGCTGCACAAAACATGAGTCATTATTCAAAAAATATCTTTCTCCAAAGTTTTCTTCATACAAAACTATTACCAAAAGACACAGTCTCAAAGAATAACAGAGGCAACTGTAGGTTTAAAGACATGATGAATGCAGTCCGGCATCTTGTGCTTAGGCACTCAATTCTGAAACAAAGTCTGACAATTTAACTCCCACATTGCCTGATAGAAGGCACAGCCGTATAATAAACGTTCTGGTTTTAGACGGCACAGTGGTTTAATTAATGTTCTGTCCTGACGGGGCGTGTGGACCTTCTTCCGTTTCTCAAAAGAGCCTCGTCTGAGAAGCGCTTGGGACCAATCTTTGGCAATACTTTTTTCTTTCAGTCTTGAGATCAGGAGCCTGAAGCCTACAGTTTTCTTTCCAAGGTGTGCAGCGCTTGGATTGGGTGCTTTATAGTGAGTTCTCAGAGGTGCTGGTCTATTTGTGGTCTTAACCTGTGCCACTGCCCCCCCCCCCCCCCCCGGCTCTTTGTTGTTGCTGCATTCTTGCCTGTTCTGCCACCATTATACTTTGCAGCTAATTGATGCTTTATAAACTGTGGTCATCAGTGCTCCCTCTAAGATGTGGAGTCCTGTGAGCAAAAATTCTCCTTTGTGAGCGACTGGCATTAGAGTTGTGAGCGAGCGATTTGGCTGCTGCATGAATTAGTTTGCTCTGGAGCCCTCCTTCCTGGGCTGAGACAAAAATGTGTGAACTGGAGGCTAAAAATGTGTGAGCTAGCCCACACTAATTCAGCTTAGAGGGAACACTGGCCACAACAATGCTCCCTCTCAGCTGTGGAGTCCTGTGAGCAAAAATTCTACTTCGTGAGCTCCTGGCCTTAAAGTTGTGAGCGAGCGATTTGGCTGCTGCATAAATTAGATTGCTCCGGAGTCCTCCTTCCTGAGCTGAGACATAAGTAGGTGAGCCAGAGGCTAAAAAACTGTGAACTAGCTCACACCCACTCAGCTTAGAGAGAACACTGCTTACGGTAACCCCTCAGAGGGTTTTCAAGGCAAGAGACATTTAGAGGTGGTTTGCCGTTGCCTGTGTCTGCATAGAGACCGTGGACCTCCTTAGCGGTCTCCCAACCGAGGACTAATCAGGACTAGCCTGGGCTATCCAGCTCACAGGCATCCGGACACTTGTGGTGAATAATTCAACACAACCAATCCTCCCTCTAAGCTGTGGAGTCTTGTGAGCAAAAATTCTCCTTTGTGAGCGACTCGCAATAGAATTGTGAGTGAGCCATTTGGCTGCTGCATAAATTAGTTTGCTCCGGAGCCCTCCTTCCTGAGCTGAGACAAAAAGGTGTGAACTGGGGGCCAAAACACTGTGAGCTAGCTCACACTAACTCAGCTTAGAGGGAACATTGTTTCCATGCCATGCAGGTCACACCATCGCTGCCTTTATTTTCTCTTTTGTGTTTTTCGGAAACCGGCTCAGCCAATGGGGGTGGGAGGATTCATGCAGTGGCTTAAACAATTTTGCCCTACTCAGAATGTTGTCCCAGACTCCCCTAGCTCTTACCCCCCCTCCACGGTCCCTTTTCTCTGCCCCATAACAAACTCCTTCTCTACAGCCAGTTCGGTGTAGTGGTTAAGTGCACGGCGCGGACTCTAATCTGGGAGAACCGGGTTTGATTCCCCACTCCTCCACTCGCACCTGGCTGGATGACCTTGGGCAAGCCGTAGTTCTGATAAGAGCTGTTCTTGAAAAAGAGCAGTTTCTGTCAAGACCTCTCTCAGCCCCGCCTACCTCACAGGGTGTCTGTTGTGGGGAGGGGAAGGGAAATGAGTTTGTGAGCCACTCTGAGACACCTTTGGGTAGTGAATGGCGGGGTATAGATCCATTCTCTTCTTCTCTTCTCTCCCCCCCCCCCAGGCCCTGAGTACGGTGTGAAAGCTTTGTCGGGGGCAGCTCGGCCTCTCAACGTGGACCCCGAAGACTTCGACGTGAGGCCGTCGCGGCAGGGTTTCCTCCAGCGGGGGGCCTCAGCAGCTTCCCTCTGGCCCCCGGCCCGGCCAGCCCCACTTTGCCAGCCAAACATTCCTTCCTGCGATGTATCGAAAGACTTTGGGGCTCACGCCTGGCGGGACTCCTGGGGGGAAGGCTTCGATGGGGGTCCGTTGCTTCCGCGGTTTGTTCCGGGACTGGGGAAGTCACAAAGAGCTTCTCGGCCCCCTGCCCCCCACCCCCTGCCCTCAAAGTGCAGTATTTATAACTGACAAGTGTTCTCTCTTCCTGCTCCTCCGGCCCGTTGCCTGCCAGCGTGGAGAGGTCCAAAGCCCGGTTTCAATATGCTGCCGTCGGTGCCGTGGGGAGGGGAGGGGGAAGGCATCACACACACACACACACACACACACACACACACACACACCTGGTCGGTTCCTTCTGGCTTCCCTGTTCCATTTGCCTTCCCTGTTCCATTTGCCATAAGACGCACACGTCTCTCTCACCTCGCTGGCCCACTCCCAAGCCCAGACGTTCTGCTCTTGATGGTAAGCCCGTTGCCTCCGGGGAGCACCGTTTCTAATTGGCTTGGAGGAGGGAGCGGCTCTTTGGCCTTTCCCGGAAGGGAACTGTTCCCTGTTCCTATCTTGAATGAGATCACGGGGGGAGGACCTGGGCAAACTGGGAATCGTGGCTGGAAGGAACTGGGTGGCCTTTCTGGGCGGGCCGTTGACCCACCCAGGCCAGGTCAGCGATGCTGTTGACCGCTTACCTTCTTCGTCCGTCCCCCACCCAGTCCCCTGAAATTGCTGGGGGTAAGAAGCATGTTTCCTCCAGGGCTGGGGCCGAGAAGCAGATAGCTCATCTTCGTGTTCCTAAAGTAGTTCCTTTTTTAAAAGAAAACCAAAACCCTCCCCTTCTGTTGGTGTTTCCCCCTCTAATGGCCCTGCTGTTAAGAACAGGTGGCTATCAAAGGCAGAGTTTAAGGAGATCGTTGTGGGAACACAGTCCATTCATTTGGGGGGGCTTTGTCTGGATGTTTGTAGGCCGGAGGCCGTTTTTCTGCCTGTTGACATTTGCTGACAGGTCTCTTTTCCCTACGTTTATAGACAGTGATGCAATGGGAAATTAAGTATGTTTTCTAGCTCTGGTTGTCATAACAGAAGGTATGCCCTTGGGGGGGAGGAGGGAAAGGATTTATTAGCATCCCCTCTTCAAAGTTAATGGTGAGGGGCTTCTGGGGTTGGTTTTTTTTTTTTTTGGTCCTGTTTCATCTGTATTGGGGGGGGGAGACAGAAAAAGAGACTCTAGTAGCTATTCACGTTACCCCACGATTCCTGGACATTGAACACAGCATCCTCTATTCCGTTTACACTGGAATTTGGAATGATATGTAAAACTCAAGATCATGAGAAGAAAAAAACATCTTCCCTTCTAGTTGTGTTCCTTTTTGCCTTATGGAAGGGGAAGAAAGGAGTTCAGGGCTGGAGCCCGTGGTTTCCATGCGCGAGGTTCCAGGCTCAGTACCAGCACCAGTGTTCCCTCTAAGCTGAGTGAGTGTGAGCTAGCTCACAGTTTTTTAGCCTCCGGCTCTCACATTTTTGTCTTAGCTCAGGGAGGAGGGCTCCAGAGCAAACGAATTGATGCAGCAGCCAAATCGCTCGCTCACAACTTTAATTCCAGTGGCTCGCAAAGTAGAATTTTTGCTCACAAGACTCCACAACTTAGAGGGAACATTGACCAGCACCCCCCTGTTCAAAGCTCACAGTAGCAGGAACAGCAAAAGGACCTTCCTTCACGGGAGACCCTGGAAACTGGAGATGAAATTGAGCTGCCTGGGTGAGTCTGATCCTAAATAAAACAGTAGGGGTGTGGGTTCGGCGAAATCCAAGCCGGGAAAATATCAAAAAAAATATCGGTATTTTCTAGATATTCTTTCAACCAGATTGAGATTTGGGCATTTTTCGGCTATCCAAAATGGCCAGATCTCTGAAAATCCCAAAAATATTCAGGATTTTTCAGGACTGCTGGATAGCTGAAGTTAAAGGGCTTGGATAAGGCATTTAAAGGGACCGCGATCCCTTGCACCTTTTTTTCCTCCATTGGTTTCAACGGAAGATGGGGGCTCCTGTGGAGGTCCATAGAATTGGACCCTCTGGTCCAATATTTTAAAAACGAGGGGGAGGGTTGAAGAGAGGCACCAGCAGCTATGCTGTAAATGTGGTACCTCTACCTCAAAAAACGGCCCCCCAGAGCCCCAGGTACCCTTAAATCGATTCTCCACTATACCCTTGGTCCCTGTAGGGTATAACGGAGCTGAAAATCAATTGCAATAAATTGTGGTATCTTATGTGTTAACAAAGGTTGGCCATTCTCTGACCACGACTCAGCACTTACGAAAGGAACACTTTCCTGGTGGATCGGGGCTTGCTGGTGCAGCAGAGGTGGGGAACTGGAGTGGCTTGAGTCTAAAACCCACGCCGGTCCATGTGAACAGAGTAGCACAAATGGGATTGTGAAGCAGTTGGATATCTCTCCCCCACCCCCCCTCCCCACCACTATATGGAAATATCAGTCCAGCCTGCATAGCTCGGGCAAGGCCTTGTGAAGCCCCTGACTGAGATGCCTGGGAGTCAAGTGTCCCTCGGAGGCCCCTCTCCTTCCTGTTGCCCATGGATGGTTTCCTTCCTCACTGTCTGCTAGTGTTGCCACCCTCCAGGTGGGGCCTAGAGATCTCCCGGCATCACAGCTGATCTCCAAACAACTCAGATCAGCTCCCCTGGAGAAGATGGCAGCTTCCAAGGGTAGATGCCATGGCATGACGCGCCACTGAAGCCCCTCCCCAAACCCCGCCCTCCCCAGGCTCCACCCCCAAAATCTCCAGGGATTTCCTAACCCAGAGCTGGCAGCCTCCAATTCACAGCTGAAACCTCTCCCCGTTTAATTTGACACAAGCTTATCATGGGCCATGTTGGCTCAGAGGTTAAGACGCTGAGCTGCAGACTGGAAGGTCGGTAGAAGAGAAGAAGAAGAGATTGGATTTCTACCCCACCCTTCGCTACCCAAAGGTGCCTCAGAGTGGCTTACAATCTTCTTTCCCCTCCCCTCCCCACAACAGGCACCCTGTGAGGTAGGTGGGGCTGAGCGAGCTCTTGACAAGAAACCGCTCTTTTTTAAGGACAGCTCTTATCAGAACTACGGCTTGCCCAAGGTCATCCAGCCAGGTGCAAGTGGAGGAGTGGGGAATCAAGCAGCTCCCTCTAAGTGTGGAGGCAGGAAGTGCCCCCCCCATGGCAAAATATGCATTTTACAAGAAAATAATAAATGAAAAGGCTTTGCCCCAGTCTGGAGGCCCAACCGCACCACCGTGCCTTCAAAGATTCCAGCTTTTGTTGGGAACTTGGTGGTTCCCCCACTGAAGGCGATGTTGCTGAAGTCCATGTAACTTTGCTTGTGATTAATCGGAAGGGTCCTCTACTAGCAGTGTGCCCATTTTCAAAGAGATTTCTGAACTGTGTTGGCAGAGGAAGATGGCCCAATTTAGGGACACCAATCGTACCACCCTTGCTTGTGGGACGGTCTTTCAGGCCTGGTCTCTTGGCTTCTCCCACCAGTGGCAAGGAGAGGTGAGAGGAGCATGCGGTTCTGATTCTGCGGCTACACTATAGACGCTCCCTTTCAGTCCAGTAGCATCTCAGGTCCTTTCCGCACTAGACCTTAAATCCTGGCTCAACCCTGTCCCCGAACGTACATTCTACACTACGTGAGTTCACCCCTGTAATTATCTCGGGGTATTTTTTTGTTTCCACATTACATTGAGGTCGCTCTGGTTTTACCCCACCTTTGTCCCGGGATAGACTGATGCTGTTATAACCAGGGATAAATGGAAGGTGTGGTGTCGCGAGTTGAACTCTGATAAAACCAGGGATGAGGTCCAAGTGCGGAAAGGACCTTAAGAGACTTTTGAGAGCTAGCGCTACCCCTGGGGAGAGCCGCTCATCCTCTGCAGTCAACAGTTCCTGGGTGATTCAGAAACATCTGCATTATTCTGTGGCAACCTAAGGTGACGTTCGCGGGATGCTGCTCGGTGTTTTGGTAACCTGACAGATTTTGTGAACCCGCTGACCGCAAGGCGGACCTGCACAGAGATGAAACCCAGAAATGTGCCCTCTGAAAATCACTCTTCATTTGGAGGTTGAAACAACAAAGGATGAGAACTTTGCAAATTGCTGGCAAAGCCATCTGCTGTAGGACTCTTCCTCCCTGTCCATTCCGTCTGGGACAGGGCATTTCAGGGCCTTGGTAGGTATTCTCTGCCCTAACTCAGGAACTTGAACCCGGTGGCTCAGAGGTTAAGACGCTGAGCTGCAGATCGGAAGGTCTGTAGGTCAGCCGTTCAAGACCCGAGGGCCGCATGACGGAGGGAGCTCCCGCCTCTGGTCCCAGCTCCTGCCAACCTAGCAGTTCGGAAGCAATAAATTGCAAGTAGAGAAACAGGTACCGCTTCGGTGGGAAGGGAACAGCGTTCTGTGCACCTCAGCGTCTAGTCAAGTCGGCCACATGATCACTGAGAAGTCTTCGGACAGCGCTGGCTCTTTGGCTTGGAAACGGAGATGAGCACCGTAACCCTAGAGTCTGATTTGACTGGCTTTCGAGCAAGGGACACCTTTACCTTTACTAAACGTTTGCCTTTACTAAGACAGCTGTGGTTAACCCCCCATAGATTCTCCTACTGAAACTGCCTCCCTTTCTTCGGCAAGACATTTCCTTCTGGCAGGTTCAGAAGGTCCCCTCACTTCCTGAGGCGTAGGGTGAGAATTTTACCAGCATTTATTATCGATGGGCCTCCTTGTGGTCGTCACCAGGTATTGTGGTTGGTCTGTGTGCCTGTGTGTGAAGCTGTGTAGTCCTGGCCTTAAGAACATATAAGAACATAAGAGATGCCAATGTTGGATCAGGCCAAAGGCCCATCCAGCCCAACACTCTGTATCACACAGTGGCCAGAAATACTAGTGCCATCAGGAGGTCCACCAGTGAGGCCAGGACATTAGAAGCCCTCCCACTGTTGACCCCCCCAAGCACCAAGATGACAGAGCATCACTTGCCCCAGAGTCCCTATCTATACCTTGTGGCTAATAGCCACTGATGGAGGCCTTCTTAGATACTTGCCAGGCACTTTCCTGGAGCAAAGCAGTGCAATTTTGCCGACCCTCCCACTATGAATTTCATCAAATAATGCACTTAAGGGGACACCTCAAAAGGCAAAGGTGGGTTTGTAACAAAACAGGTTTTGAAAACTCCTGGGGCACACAGGGAGACGTATCGAAGGGGCAGTTCTAACAGCCACATGTGTGTACAAATTCTCTCACGCATATACGCTTTGTATGGACCTCAATGCATTCACTCTTACGCGTACACATTCCGTGAACACAGAAGCCTTGTAATTTCTGCATAGTACATCTCTTAGGACTTGGCAAGCCACCGCAGTTTGTCTCATCGTAATGTAAGAAATGTTTCCCATGACCTTTTTTTTTTAAAGTGAGAGAGAACTTTGGGGGGCAAACTTTACTCGGGAGTCCAAGCAAGACTTTGAATCACTGGGCAGTCCAAGAGAAGGCCCAGAGGCGAGTTTGTGGGAAAGAGGGTAGCGCTGTCTGTTACAGAGTGAAGTTGTCGGAGTTGGTGGCCAGGTGAGGCCCTCACGCCAGTTCAGAGGAAAGGGGAATGTGCTCTTCTAGCAAGGTGTCCAGTTCTTCTGGTAATACTTTCTGCAAATCAGCTCTGTTTCATTCTTCTCAGCGCTGCGTGAAGCTTGGGGGCGGCCAGAGAGTAGGCCCTTGAGGGATCTCCGCTTGTGGGTCTGGAGAACATCCTGTTGGGAGGGGAAATGAGACATTGCCTCTGTGGTCAAGGGTCAGCCCCCTTCTTAGGCCCGGTCTGCATCTAGCATGTGCCCTGCTGTTTTACCAAACCCACGCTGGAACAGAAATTCCCTTCTACACTGCATGCCACTTTCACTTTGATTGTCAGATTTGATGGCAGTGTCCGCTGTCCAGACTGCGGTGGCTCAAGTGGTTAAGACGCTGACCCGCAGACTGGAAGGTCGGTAGCTCAGCAGTTCGAGACCCGAGTGCCGCATGACGGAGTGAGCTCCAGCCTCTGGCCCCAGCTCCTGCCGACCTAGCAGTTCGAAAGCAAGAAATTGCAAGTAGATAAATAGGGACCACTTCGGCGGGAAGGTCACAGCGATCCATGCACCTCCGTGTCTAGTCACGCTGGCCACATGACCACAGAGAAGTCTTCGGACAGCGCTGGCTCTTCGGCTTGGAAACAGAGATGAGCACCACAACCCTGGAGTCAGATCCGACTGGCTTTTGAGCAAGGGAAACCTTTACCTACTGTCCAGACTGCATGCCGCTTTCGCTCGGTTTGATCTCTCGGTTTTATGGCAGCCATCTGCATAGATTTATGGCCGTTCAGGGGTGACTCCGCAATCAGTACAGTGTTGCCCTGGGGTATTTGAATATGGTTTTGAGCCACATCTTTTTTCTGTTCCAGTGTGGGTTTGGTAAAACAGCGGA